CGGGGGGCTGCGGGTCTCCGTCGGTTCCTTTCAACAACATGGCGGAGGGGCCGGCTGGGGCGGAGTCGCCTTTCCCCCCCTCTCTTAATCCCCCTCCCTCCTCTTCCCCGGTGTCCGAGCCTGGCGGAGCACGGGGACTGCTCGTCCCTTTGTTGGCCGGGAGGGGCCGCGGCCTGGGGCAGAGGCGGTGTGTGTGGTGGGGGGGGATGGCGGTGAGGGGTTGGAGGCGGCAGCCGCGGCGGCTCCTCATGACACCCCGTCCCCCCGCCGGTGCCCGCGTTGTCCCCCTCCCTACCCCCCCGGAGTAGCCCCCGGGGTAACTTTCCCGCCCCGTCAGCCCGCCGAGGCAACTTGGCTCCGGGTGGCGGAGCTCCCTCTCTCCCCTCAGGCAGAGCCGCCCTCCCAAAGAGGGTGCCTGACTCCCCCCCCATCCCCGGCCTGGGGTGCTCCGGACCAAGCGGTGCCCGACGCGGGGAGGAGAGGGGAGATATAACGTGTTGAACGTTCCGCCCTAGTGAAGGTAAAAAGAATCCCTCAGCTCCCACGGCAGGATGCTGTCGCTCTGCCGTGTTGTGGGGGTGCTGCGGGTGTCTGTCTGCCCCCACGGCTGGTGTCTGTCGGTGGGTGATCTCCCCCAGTACGGACGGGCGGACAGACAGACCACCTGCACGCTCTGCGAGGACCCAACCAAAGGGGAATAAAATCTTCTGTGAATATTGTAGGATGAAAGGGTTGTGTTCCTCCAGCCTTCTGTGCCTGTGGACCCTCTCTTGAAGAGAGATGTGGGGTCAGAGCTGTGCTGTGGCAGGGCTAGTGCACCAAGCTCAGCAATGCAAGGAATAGGTGTTTTTCCATTAAAAAATAAAGCCTGTTTTGTTCTTCGGTTGGGCCATGTGTCCTAATGGGGGTGTACAAGTGTTACAGGCACCCTACTCTGTTTAGGTTTCAGCTTTACCTATGGTAAGGTAGATGATGGTGATGACAGATACACAAAATCCGCATTTTTATAGTTGCTCTACTTCCTAAATTCTTCTGTAGGTGGATTGGATGTCGCTGTGCGTTTTAAAGAGGAAGTGGAGAAGCACCACGACTTTCTCCTGCAGTTGCAGCTTTAAGACATCTCTGGATCTGAATTTATTTTTTTTTTACGATGCTATTTGTAATTTAATCTAAGATGATAGTTGTGTTGTAAAGAAAATGCTACTTAAAGAGAACATAACTTGCTTTACTAAAATGTTGTGCTAATTGCCCGTATTCTTGTCGAGGAAGATGGAGAATCTTTGATGTGGAAACAGTGAAGTAAAGTTAAGTTACCCGTGATGGTCCTTGTGTTCTTGGAAAGATGTGGCAGGCTTCAGTAATTTAAAGCTTTCTTACATAATGCATCCAGTTTAGACGTTGAAGGAAATTTTCCCTCGATTTGAGCTTTGAACTTTTCCCTTTTAGTGCCTCTGATCAATCAACAGTTTTTACCTAATCTCAGTTGTGACATTAAGGTCTGAAAGCCTTGTGTGAAAGCAGGCAATAGGCTGCCATACAAAAACTTAAGGATGGAAGTGGTGCTGTGCTACCTTTTGTTTAAAAACAAACAAATAAACAAGCAAAAAACAACAATAAAATCCTCCCTGTCTAAGGGAATAGAGGAGGACCCAGGGTTCTTGATCCATAACTCAGACAGGTCCTGGTACTGGTAAAGGGGTTAATTTGTCTGAACATGGTGGTCTAAGTTGATAAAGAAGTGTAAGGTATGTTTTGGTTACTGTTACTTAGTATTCTTGTGGTGGGTTGACAAAAGTTAAGCGTTTTCTGATTGCTTCTGATGCTGCTGCTCTGCAATACACTAGTGTTACTGCACGAATGAATTAGCTTGTGATATGGTTTATATGGAGATGAGGCGTGTAATGAATCACAGCAGCTAGCTGAACAGTACAGCAGTCCTCATTTGTAAGACAGTGTCTGAAGTTTAGGGTGGTTTGGTTTTTGGTTTGTTTTTTTTTTTAATGCGTGAGTCATAGTCTTTGGTCTCTCCAAAATTCTGAGGAGTCATCTGCTGGAAACTCTGGCATTCACTCAGTTGCTCCTAATTGCAAATAAAGATGGGAATCTCATTTGTATGCTGAAATGAATTTAAAAGTACAAATGAAGGAGGTCTTCATTCTTTCTGTTTTCATAAGGTTAGTAAAATTATAAACTAGGCTATTAATTCTAACTTTGTTTTGTTTTACTAGAACATACTGTTTTAAGAAAGGTACCAGAAACAAATTTTTAATGTTACCTTGCTGTAAGAGGCACGAACATATTGTGAGTAGTTTTATGAATGAGACACAAAAAACCCTTTTTTTTTTTTTAATGCGTGAGTCATAGTCTTTGGTCTCTCCAAAATTCTGAGGAGTCATCTGCTGGAAACTCTGGCATTCACTCAGTTGCTCCTAATTGCAAATAAAGATGGGAATCTCATTTGTATGCTGAAATGAATTTAAAAGTACAAATGAAGGAGGTCTTCATTCTTTCTGTTTTCATAAGGTTAGTAAAATTATAAACTAGGCTATTAATTCTAACTTTGTTTTGTTTTACTAGAACATACTGTTTTAAGAAAGGTACCAGAAACAAATTTTTAATGTTACCTTGCTGTAAGAGGCACGAACATATTGTGAGTAGCTTTATGAATGAGATGCAAAAAAAAAAAACCCTGATAGTGCCATTTGGCACCTGCACTACGAAGAATATAATACCAGGCTTTTGAAGCTGGGATTTTTCACAAGGTTTTATCATTACCTGCAAGTTGAGGATGAGGCCTTAATAAAGCAGTCTGTCTGTTTTCTTGACCGCGTCCTGTTGGTTGCCATCAACTTAAGTGGAAGTTTAAGTAAACAAAGGCAGATGAAATGTATGTGAAAGTTGTCCTGAAAACTTGATATCTAGTCCTGTTACTTTGTGACACTTAACCATTGCCTTTGAGGAGGAGGAGTTAGTGAGGATCGTGAAGTATTATGGTTAAAAAGACGTACCCATGTCCCAGGTAATGTAAGACCTAAACATTTTTGTATCTTGAGCTAGAAGAGATCAGAGATGAGTCAGGAGTATTGAGTTGTGAGGGGATTGTCAGAGTAAGAGAGTAGGAAGCTGACAGCACCTTTTTGTATTATGCTTTTTTGCTGCCAGAAAACTTTATTTATTGGATGGGGGGAGAAACTACCAGTAACCACTATAGCTCTCTTGCTCGTCTCTCCAAAATCTCTTACTGTCTCTTGTACGACATAGCTTCGCTCCTGTATCCCTTAGAACTCTCTCTGGTGGAACCAAGAGTCCTGATTGTTTTTCGGGTGAAATTCTTGTTTCAAAATGTCATTTGTGTTTCTCGTGGGAGAAGAGTTGTAATGTCCCAAGAGAAGGATCTGGAGTTTCTTAGCATAGTGCTGCTGGTGGGGGCCTGAGACTACTTGTCTCTTTTACATTTGTAAAACAGTGACATATGATTAAATAAATAAAAGTGTTACTAATACCAAATTGTTAATTGTTCATAATGAGATGTGGGCTTGGGGTTTTTTTAGAGGACCTCGCAGTGCGGTTTTAACTGCTGTAATGTGTTGTTAGCATCCATTGAAAGACAGTATTTCAACATAAAAATTCTTTGGCTGAAGGTGGTATTCTGTTCAGTAGTTCTGCAGGATGCCAGTATAGTGATTCATAGAGTTTCATGCAACTCTAAAAATGAAGGCTTTCTGCAATTTTCATACTTCAGAAAGACAACAGCTACAAAAACAACTGTTTCAATAGGTGCCTAATGGCACAGGCTTCTAAAAGTGAAGTGGATAGGGTGTACTTAATTCTCTGTTTGTGTTTCACATACAGTATTAATAGCTGAACTTTTGGGTTTCAGCTTATTTTAAGTCTTACCAAGCTGTGTAGTTTCTGTGTCTCATTTCTGTTGCCAGCTTGCTTTACCCTCGCTGCGGACTTTCCAGACTGCAACGTCCACGGAGGAGAGATTTTTTGCAAAGGGAATAAAAAAAACCTGTCAAACTGAGAGTCTGAGAAATTACCCAAGTAATTGTGCTCAACGCAACGATTAAACCCCGTTGTGCTCTGAGAAGCATGCTGTTGGTAACTTCTACGGTAGCTGTGTCATAACACACACACACACACTTTTATAACCACACTGTCTGACTGATTTCTGTTAGGGCAGTCGGTCACACAAAGCAGGAATGGTTATGTGGAATGGTCAGTGAGGAAATGCAGCAGAGAAGGCACTGAATTACTGTGTTGACCCATTTTCTGTTCCTGGCCTTGTCACACTGGTTGTCCATCTAAGCTTCCCAAGCCTTCTATCACTTAAACAGATGTGACCTTTCATTAGTTGGTAATGGAGCTTCGTGCCAGTGGTTCCATCCAAACAGTGTTGTAATACTTAAAAGAAAAAAAAAAAAAGTTTTGTGCTGTGGAAAACATGGACAAAGATGTGAGTGAAAAGTTTTTTTTCCCCTCCACTTTGAATTTAGTAGTTTTGAAGGAGCATTTTGTGTTAGTAGTTTTAAAGAGTGTTTTCCAAATGTATTGAAATATATTATACCAGAAAGTTATTGCTGGTTCTGGAAGATTAGGTTACATCTGAGTTACCATTTTCTCATCACATACTATTGTCAACCCATTCTTGAAATGTATGTATTCATTTAAGTGACCTTGGAGACTTGAGTTTTAAAATCAATATAATGCTTCTCTGAGAAGAACATGGACTACTTGGAGACAAAGAAAAGATTTGTGTCTCCAAAAGGACAACAGTATGATATTTTTTTTCCTTTGAGAACAGTTATATGTGAAAACACTTCTTTATTGGGGGTTGGACTAGATGATCTCCAGAGGTCCCTTCCAACCCCCTGTGATTCAGTGAGTCTGTGATTTATAGGAGTGGAGTGATTTAACTACTGTTGGTCATGGACATTGACATCCCATTGATGTTAAATTTTACCTATGGTGTGTTCATGTAGTCATAGTCTTTTTTCTTCTACACATAGATAACCAGAGTGAGACATGGGTACAGGATCTTCCAATTCCATTTCCTCTCCTTGTTGCTGGAGATGCTGAATTAGTTTTCCTCATAGTAGTAAAATCTGGAAATTCTACTTTTACCCACTTGAGTTGGAAGACCTGAAGTATTGTCAGTGGCCAGAGCAGGAAGCATTTTTTTGTGGCTGTTTGGGTATTTTTTAGGAGTGTGTCCACTAGAGAGCAGCAAAGCCCTGTCTTCCTAGAAGCTTTGCCAATTGAGCAGATTAGGCATTGTTTTCTGCTTTTAAGGGATGGGGTGAGTAATTCCAGAAGGAAGTAGCGTTCTATTTGTGCCCAGGAAGCCATTCAGTTGGATGTGACAGTGTCCAGTGTCTTGGCAGGAGACTAGAAGATAGTGGCATCAAACTGGAACAAAAATATAAAGTGTCTCAAATTGCCCTCCTGGGGAATTCTGTAGCAAAGGAGAGGTGAGAACAAAATGAATAAGATAAGACACCAAATTCTTTCTCTCTTAATAGTGGTATCAGCGTGTCTCTACAATTTCACAAGATCAGATGTAAGGTTTTCAACCCAAACCTCTTTTTTTCACTTCAAGTAACTTGGCCTCTGTGCAGTGACTCAATGTAAATATATCTTACTGAATATCTGTGTCTTACTGTAGGCATTCAGATGAGCCAAGAATATTATTTAAATAGGAAAAAAAAAAGTCACAGATGAAGTAAGAGAGATAAAGGTCTGCTTGTTAAGAAAGTTGGAAGAAATATCAATGGGTGAATGTTTTAGGAGACTTTAAATGGGTTAAATAATAATTTGTTCAAGTGTAAATTACCATAGGCACACGAACAGGAAAATAACTGTTAAATGTTCTCATAGTTAAACTATGAATAATAAGACTTCCCTTACTTCTCTGATTGGGAGGGGATGTGGGAAATCTAAGAACTTTGTTAAATGTTTTTTGTAACAGTAGGGGATGACTGGCAATAATTGGTTTTGATTCAAAACCTTGGGGGAAGGAGGTGCTTTCATCGGAATCAAGACTTTGAGATGGAATGTATATTTGAGATCAGATCGTCATTTAATAAAATCTGTGATATCCAGGGATAGAGAGGGGTGTACAATCTGAGGCAATTCAGGTGGTCATCTTAAACTCTTGACTTTAAGTGAAACACCAGATTTTGGAGCATCTTTTGCTTTGCCGTCTATTAATCCTCACTCCTTTGATGTAAGATTTTATATATACCATTGAAAGAGGCTTGGTTATGGCTCGGAGCATTTTTGTGGTTTGGGCATGAATGTTTAAGATTTTAAATTTGTCTAAATTTCTGTGTTTTAATTGTTCTGCATGCACGTACACAAGTTCTGTGCTAGCTTTTGCTCTCCACAGATGAAGAAGTGGAGTCAGAGAGTACTGATATTTTTATTGTTGCGCTGTTTTCTGCCTGGCTTTGGTCCCGTAAATGCCGGAAGGAACGGAGAAAGAAATTGGAAGTAGTAGTCTTCCTTCTCCAAGAACTTCTGCGATTTAAAGAATGAAACCTGATTGTCTTAGACATGATGAGTCAATCATTCCTGCTTTTCTCCTCCATGCCCCCTCCTTCACTAGTGCAATTGATAGCTTTAGTGTGAACCAGGAGCTTGAGTAACGTAAGGCAGTGTTTTCTTGCAGCTTCATAAATAAGGAGCCTAAACCATACTCTGTTTGTGTGAAAGGGTATGTTCTCAGGTTATTTTGGGGTTTGTTTTTTAATGGGGATGAAGCCTTTATACGCCCTTTCCTCACTGCAAAATTGAAGCTTAATCAAGTAATGTATAAAGTATTAATCTTGGGCAGCATTAATCAAGTAATGTATAAAGTATTAATCTTGGGTAGCCAGCAGCGTCCTATTTGTCACTTACTAAAGCTACACCCATGGTTACTGGGGGGCAAGGGAGGCATTATTTGTGTTGGGTTTAAAAATAGCAGAATTGCATATTACAGAGGATACAGCGTTACTAAAAAGTCTAGATCTTTCCTAGGAGGAACTGTAGTGGAACTTCTTTGCCTGGAGGAACACCTGGGATTGCAGCCTTTCTCTTTTAAGACATAATAAGGAAAGATGATTTCAGCTTCAAATTTGACTGACTTGTCTGCTCATCTCATTATTTTGTCCCACTAAAAAGCCTTGTAGTTTTGTTCTCCTGTGTTACAGTTCTATGTTTACGTAACTGAAAAGATTGTAGGTCTCGTAGCGTATTGAACTTTTTATTTCTTTAGTCATTCAAGTTGTTTTTCAACTCAGAATACGTAACAATGCTAACATAAGTGTTTGTTTTTTTTCCCCAATGCAGCATTACAGTGTTACTGCCATCTGTGTACAAAAGACAACTTCACCTGTGTGACGGATGGGCTGTGTTTTACCTCGGTAACACGAACTGCTGACAAAGTCATACGCAACAGTATGTGTATAGCAGAAATTGATCTGATTCCCCGCGACAGGCCCTTTGTTTGTGCCCCCTCTACCAGAGATGGAGTCACTACCGTGCCTCACTGCTGTGACAGAGACCACTGCAATAAAATTGAACTTCCAATTCCAACACCAGGTAAGGGGGGTTGGCGTATTTGTTTTTATTTTTAATTATTTTTTTTAAAAAACTGAAACTTTTGTAAGAGCGGAAGTTTCCGTTTTGTGATTGTAAGTGAATTTGAAGGCCCAAAGTACACCTTGGGTTCTGCAAATAAAAATTCAAGAGATTTGTATTGAGAAACTTTATCACCCTGTCTGGGTGTCAGGGCCAGATTTGAAGATTTAAATGCAAGTTAAATGGAAACTTTCAATTTGTAAGCACATAGTTGCTTTTGTCCTTTGTAATACTTACTTTGGTCCTTGAAAAAGTTACTGTGCAAAATACCCAAAAGTTTTAACAAACACCTTGAAATAATTTGAAGATCGCTGTGAAATACAATAAATCCAGTTGTGTAAAAAGAAAGAAATAATCTTACCCTCCTCTTTTATTTTTACTGTCAGGCCCTGCTCCAGGAAAACTGGCTTCTAATCTGGGACCTGTGGAACTGGCTGCTGTCATTGCTGGACCCGTCTGCTTTGTCTGCATTTCACTGATGCTGATTCTGTATCTTTGTCATAATCGTACTGTAATTCATCATCGTGTGCCAAGTGAAGAAGATCCCTCCCTGGATCGTCCCTTTATATCAGAAGGAACTACTTTAAAGGATTTAATTTATGATATGACAACTTCAGGCTCTGGGTCAGGTAATGTCACGCTTCTAGTAGTAATTACTCTGTGTGTAAAAGCCTTGTTAAGGCATTGATTTTTTATTTATTTATTTTTTTAATATTGTCAAATCTACTTAAACTTACGATTAACTGGAGAAATGACTCGAAAAGCTACTTCCATGTAGATTCTGTCAATACCAGTGAAGATTAAATATATGGAAATAAGTGAAATGAAATAGTCACATAGAGTTGCTGCTACTGAGAGTACAGTCTGGTAAGCAGGGAATAGCACAGTCAGCTATTGTAAATATTTTGTTTCCTCTAATAAGGCTCAGTCATTTACCTTTTTGTTCTGCACAGCATATCTCAATTGCTATCTTCTGTGCCTTTGAGATACTGTGTGAAGTTTTTTTTTCTTTAGCTTTGAACTGAAAATTAATTTATTTCTGTAGCTATTGGTATACAAAGAATATTCTGAATTCTGAGTTAACATGTTAGCCAGTTCTTTCCTCACAGAAGACATTTTTCAGAGTGCCTTTGAGATACTGTGTGAAGTTTTTTTCTTTAGCTTTGAACTGAAAATGAATTTATATCTGTAGCTATTGGTATACGAAGAATATTCTGAATTCTGAGTTTACATTTTAGCCAGTTCTTTCCTCACAGAAGACGTTTTTCAGTTGTAAATGGTCATTTCTATATGTATAGAATAGATGCAGTATGCAGACTACATCAAAGAATTTCTATCCTTTGATTTCTTGAATTTTTTAGTTTAATTCTGGCTTTAGCAAGTGTTGCTTTTGGATGATGAGGTGATAGTCTGTTCACTGCATGTCGTCTCTGCTATGCTAATCCTGAAATACTTGCTTAGAGAATTGTGGTAGTTTGTGCCACAGAAATACAGTTTAATAAGCATTCATAGGGGATGATGTATCAGATAAATCATTGTATAAATTAATTAATCTCTGGTCCATGTTAAAGAACGAGATGTCAGATTGTGTACTGCAACCTCTTATTGACCTCCTACTGTACAAAAAGTTTAAATAATTTAATACTGAAAATTACTTCTACTACTTGCAAATGTCTGTGCTGAAATGTCCATGCCCTTTCAGGGTATTTTCTGCAAAGAAATACTGGTGTTTGATCTTCAACTGCTGAACTCTTTCAATCCCCAAAATTGGGGAATGATTTCCCCAATTTATTTTATATTTTATAATATAAATTTATATTATATTTTATAATGTCTTCAAATTATAATAACAAAACCCAAGCACCTAGGATGTATTCCTTTCCCAAGTACAGTAACTGGTAAAACTGTTTAGAGTCGATTGCTCTATCAGCTAAAATCAATGTACCAAGCTGAACGTGATTAGAATATAGATTAAAATAAGTCACCGTTGGTCGTATCTTCATTGAAGAATGTGAGGTTGCACTGAGTGTGTAGGCAGTTATGTTTCAACTGAGAAACCATTTGCTTGTCCAAATAAGACTTGATCATGATAGGCTTTCAGTTGCTTTCTGGTTAAAACTGGAGCTTTAATAGTTTGTATTTATCTCCATTTTCTCGTTTACTAACAGCGATAACTAAATCAAACAATGAAAGTGATCGATAGAACTTCCAATATATTGAGCTAGAACTTGTTAAATGCTGGACTTACTACTCCAGTTACATTCTTTCTAGGAATAGTGTCATGAAGTAGGAGACTTAGAGAACATGAAGGAGTCAGAGATTTACATTTCTTGGAATCCAGGAAGCTATGATACGTAATTGTTTCACTATTAGGAGCGTAAAACTCTTTTAAAAAGGCTGGGAAGAAATTTCAATATTATTTTTTTTTTAAATTAAACCTTAAAAGAGTAGGTGTATGTTTTATATGGATACGTTGTCATCTGCAATGTGCTAGCTGCTATTACTTTAGTAAACCCAGAAAAGAAAGCCTTTAAAGTTTTCCCTTGAAACCGCATTTAGTCATACTTGCTTTAAAGTACTGTCTGATTGATAGTTCCCTTCTCACTTCTGTAGATAATTACAGCAATTCTGCCACTTTCTGCATGGTTGCTTTCTCACACTTCTTTAGATCAGAAGTCAAGCCTGTGATGATGTTAATTCAGATTTAGCAAATGGAAAGACCAGCTGACAGCTATGGGGAATACTCCTTCATTTTCCTTCTGGCCTTTTCCTTGTGATGCTTCTGAGCCTCTCTTCGTGTTTGAAAACTTTGGGAGTACTCCTTCAAAATAAGCTCTTGAAAAGCAGGGAACCCCAGTCAGAAGAAATTTAGGATTCTTCCTCCAGAGCAAGTGGTTAGAAACTACTGATTGTTCCCTTGCTTATTTGCAAATTACACTTTAAATAAAAGCAGGGAATTACTTAGTTTTCAGATATTCAGGACTCTCAAGCTGGTCCAGACTCCCAGAGCACCTGACCTAATACAGTATATGAGCATTGGCTACTGATGGCTGCATCAGAGGAAGAAAACCAAAAAAATGTGGTTGAATTTGACTTACCCCTAAGGAAAGTTCTTCATTAACTTGCCTTTATGCTTCAAAGGCAAAGTCATGTTCCCTGTAAAACAAGAAGACTGAAAGCTTCCTTAAGAATGATCTTTTAACTTCAGATGCAGAGAGTTCCTTGTTGTTCAGCTGTTTGTTAGACACTTCTTGGCCTTATTTAGTGTTCTATATTTCCCTTTTGTTATGACAGTGGTACAGGAGGTGCTTCAAGGACTTATTTTCTGTACTGTTGGCAGCATATTTATTTGCAATGACTTGTGTCACTTTGTCCCAAAATTAGTCAATCAATGACTATATAAATTCACAATGCCCTTGCATGTGAACTGACAATCTTCTTATGTCCTCAAATATGCCTGCAGCAATTGAGTCTCATTGAAATGTGTATTTGTAATCCAGGCTTTGGTACCACATGCTTAAAATTGAGAGGACTGTACATTGATGGAATAAAACTAGGGGTGGAGAACTGGGTCACTGAAGGGAGAAAAGTCAGAGCTGCTAGTTTCAAATACTGCTTAACCTTGTCAGAAACAGAAGTGCGTGAAAGGGATGCTGTTGGGGCGAGAGGTTGCAAGAAACACAGTGGAAATGTGCAGAACAGGAAAAAATAATCCAAACCCAAGAGGTGCAGCTAAGGAAGTGTTTGGTCTGGTGACCAAAAGTAAATGTTCTGCCCTTAAATTGATACCGAGGGACCAAAAGAGCTCATAGTCAAATACAAAACTGGTAGAATCCTTTTTATTATGGTATTCTCTGAAGGAAAGCCTAAAAACAGAAATGATCAGAACTCTGAAAATGAGCTTCCTACTCAGATCGAAAGGGATGTAGGATTCATATTCTGCAATGATGAATTCAGTAAGCTGTAATTAATTATTCAGTCTTGACTCCTGTTAGCATTGCCCAATTGTTCCATGACGAACAAGACCTGAAACAATGAGAGGCTTGATGAAAGGAATTGATGGAACATCTGAAATGGAGCCTTCTGCTGAAGCTGCAGCTTCTAAGAGAAGCTTTTCAAAGTATCTTGGAGCTCAGAAAAAATTTCAGATCACAGAATAGTAAGGGTTGGAAGGGACCTCTGGAGATCATCTTGTCCAACCCCCCTGCCAAAGCAGGTCCACCCAGAGCAGGTTGCACAGGAACGTGTCCAGGTGGGGTTTGAATATCTCCAGAGAAGGAGACTCCACCACCTCCCTGGGCAGGCTGTTCCAGGGCTCTGCCACCTTCAAAGTGAAGAAGTTCCTCCTCCTCATGTTTAGATGGAACTTCTTATGTTCAAGTGTGTGCCCGTTACCTCTTGTCCTGTCACTGGGCGCCATTGAAAAAAGACTGTCCCCATCCTCCTGACACCCACCCTTTAAGTATTTATAGGTGTTGATCAGATCCCCCCTCAGTCTTCTCTTCTCCAGGCTAAACAGACCCAAGTCCCTCAGCTTTTCCTCATAAGAGAGATGTTCCAGACCCCTCATCATCTTTGTGGTCCTCTGCTGTACCCTCTCCAGCAGTTCCCTGTCGTTCTTGAACTGGGGAGCCCAGAACTGGACACGGTGCTCCAGATCATGATGCAAAGTTCTTAACATCAACCCACGTATTGTATAGACAGATCGGGATGCCCAGGCATTACTCTCCTACTCACAAATGGCAAAGTAACTTACTTGCAAGGAAATGGGAAGAATTGCCTGAAACAGGGGAGAAGCTTTGGTTATTATTGGTAGGTGACTTCAAGCAGCAAGTTTGAGTGTTTAGAAATCCGAAGGGTCACAAAAATCAGTGTAAAGTTGAGTCAGTTGAAGTCAGTGTAAAACTCCTTAAACTTATCTGCGATTCATAGAAGCTTGAAGAGAATGAGTTTTTTCATAGTTTGCGGGGTTGGTTTATTTTATTACTCTTCAGAGGAAGTCTTCTGGGCAGAGACTTATGAACAAGAACAAAGTTCTAGCAGCTGCTTTTTGTTGGCTGCCTTTAGTGCTATAGAACTTAATTCCTGAATTATCCAGATCAGGTACAAACTTACACATTTGGCAGTCATTGGGCCAAACTAATCAGAGTACAGTTAAGGTGTGGAAAAGAATAAGAACTCTTTTGTTACTCTCAGAGGACTTGAGGACATTTCATTATGATGTGTGGAGATGATGAAGGCTCCAGGGACAAATTGGATGACCGTGGTTGAATACAAGATGCCAGATGTTTTGAGCTGCTGTTGAATTTAACAAGGACTTGAATTTTTTTTCATCCTCCTTATTAGCAAACCGACTGTCATCTTTCTTCATGTGCAGTTAAAAGCAGCTGTGCTCCAAGAGCTTTAGGTACAGTGTGTGCCCAAGGTGTACGTCAAAGGCTGGTGGTGTAGCCATCTCCAGTGAGCTGCTTTTCAGCCAAGTCTGACTTAACAGAAAAGCAGTTGCTCAAGTTCCTGGTGATACAGGGTTGAGTTTCCTTTACAGCCAAACAGAGGAGACTGCTCGGTTGCACCAGGAAGTCTGTAAGGAATTCTTATGGATGTAAGATAAACATGGATTCCCATCTCCTGCGTTTGTTCAGCAGCGGTAGTAAGAGAAAGCATAGTCACAAAAACCAGAAGCAAGTTGGATCTTGTAAATATTGTAAAATAAGTATAGGAGCAGGGTGTACAGATAACAGTCAGCAGGGTTTTTACTGTACTGTGACGTTTTAACATGTTGATTGGAGGTTTGTTATGTGAAATTGAAATCCTTCATGTCTGGAAGGTTTACAGTTTAGTAAATGTTTAGGGGATTTGCTAAACAAGATATCCTTGGGCATCATCTTTTTTAAACAGGAAGTGATGCCTATAAATGGTACAGCAAGTTGAGACCGGCACATCTGAAACTAAAATGTAAAAATGGTTTTCTGAAACAGCTGTAGGAAAAAGAAAATACAAGGCATATCGCCTGCCTCAAGTACACAAAACTAGCCTGTATGTAGCATTTGTCAGTGGGTTTTGCAGTAGTGCAGAAGTGCTGAGGTGGGGGGAGCTTTCTCTGGCCAACAAAGTTCAAATTTTACATTTTGAGGGTTGAGTTTGGTCATGTGGTTCTTGTAGTCTGGCTTTTTCTGCATTTCAAAAGTCTGTCTGTAAAGAATGCAAGTTAGGCTTCAGAGATGAGCCTTTACAGCGTGGGCACACGGCACAATTGACCTGAGGACAGATATTACAGCAAAAAAGGGAACTTTCTCTGTTGGAGTTCTTGCAGCACCTGACAGTGATTGAATTGCTGGTATGGTATCTTTTTTTTTCTCCTTCCTTTTTTCATGTAGGTATATTGTCAGCACAGATCATGCAGAAAATTCCTGTAGGTCTGGAACTCTTGAGGAACTCCTGAACACTGCAGTGTTTTAATTTGCATTCCTTACACTGCAGCACAAACACAGCAAATGCTCCAAACCAGATCAGATGTCCTAGTGCTGTTATTAGCAAAGAATTTCCAGAGATGGACAGGAACTAGTTATTTGAGCTATAAGTTGGAATTTATTTTCTATACTGTGAGAAAATATTGATGTTCTTCTGTCAGGTATTGGAACAGTGATTATAAACTAGTTATTTGAGCTATAAGTTGGAATTTCTTTTCTATACTGTGAGAAAATATCGATGTTCTTCTGTCAGTGATTATGGTGTCAGTGATTATGGTGTAATAGATCGCTCTGTAAAGTGTTTGATTTAATCCTGTAGCAAAAGAGCTCATTGTGAGCAGATAACCTGGCTGGTGTGTTCATCCTGCAGCATGGTGTCACTGCAGAATTGTGTGACAATCCTTGGAGTTACAACAGGAAAGATTTAAAATAATCAAAACCCCACCCTGGTTGGGCGATGTCAGCCCGTCTTGTTGTATAAACTTAGTGGAGCACGTTAGGAGGTGCTGTAAGTTGAAATTATGTAGATGATCCGAAGCTATAAAAATCAGTCATTGTTACTGATCAGTGTGGTTTAACTTTAATTTGGAAATGGACTGATTCTAGTAATAAATCAAGTAAATGAATCAGTAGAAAAAGTGTTCTTGAACTGCTTTGCCGGGAGAGTTATGGTGAAATCCTTTTCCAAAAAAAAAAAAAAAAAACCAACCCCAAAAAAACCCTGAACTCTGTCTTGGTCCTTATTGCCTTGTGGTTTGTTTCTTTTTTTCATTAAAATAAGAAATAAGACTTTATGGATCAACAGCTGTCAAAAACTCTAAACTGTTAGAAAGTGGTACCCTCTTTTTTAACATCTGTAGAGGCGGTTTGTAATAATGTCTTTGAATAGTTGTATTGCTGGCCTTTTAGGTTGAAGGCAGCATCTTGCCTACATGCTCTTAGCAATTCACTGTTAATACCTTCAGAGTATTTATGTGCATTCTAAGAGAAACATCTTAATGAAATACAGTTCTTACATTTCATAGTTATAAGTGCTTATTTTGTTAATGTTGTTTAAGGTTAATGTTAAATCTTCTTTTTAGGTTTGCCTTTACTTGTGCAAAGGACAATTGCAAGAACTATAGTGCTTCAAGAAAGCATTGGGAAGGGTCGCTTTGGAGAAGTCTGGCGAGGGAAGTGGAGAGGAGAAGAAGTTGCTGTGAAGATCTTTTCTTCAAGAGAGGAACGCTCGTGGTTCCGCGAAGCAGAAATCTATCAGACAGTTATGCTGAGACATGAAAACATTCTTGGATTTATAGCTGCAGACAACAAAGGTTAGTGATACTATGAATTCATTTTGCTGATTTTATACTGTCAGAATAGGTGGTAAGTGGAGGGGGAAAAAAAAGCTGTGAGGATCCAATTAAGAGTAGCAAAAAAATTTTGCTATTAGAGCATTTTAGGCCTTGGCAGGCTTTTCATAGGTTCAATGAAAGAAAAAAAGTACACTTTCCTTTTTCTGGAAAACATGCTTTGTTTAAATCTTTAAAAACTGCCTTTTTAAAGAGGTGTCATTTCTACAAGCAAGTTAAAACAGTGGTTACGTTTGGTATCAAAAAGGAGATGTCTTATCCTGTCAGCCCACACATCTGCTGAATACCTATACTTCCCCAATAGCCTAATAAGATAGAGGTGTGGGGCCGAAAGAGATCACGTGTAATCCTGTTGTCTTAATATAAAGCAGGAGGTAGAGGGTTAATTTTGAAGGCTGAGAGATGAGAAGTTACTCATTTAGAACTCCAGGGTGAAAAGAGATTGGAAAAAGGGAATTAATTTGTTCCATGAGAAGTTACTCATTTAGAACTCCAGGGTGAAAAGAGATTGGAAAAAGGCAATTAATGAATTGTTCTTAGTATTAAAAACACTGTACCTGTTTCCTGAAGCTCTCAGGAAGCCTTTAAGTGTCCATGAAGAGGAACAGGTTAACCAGTTTTTCAATTTGATTTGTTGCATTTTCAGTCAGATGAAACTTTCTTGGGTTTTCCTGCAGTCCATTTTAAGACACAAACATTTGGTAAAACCAACAGAAGCTTTGAAATTATTACATGAAGGGGAGTTAAAATATTATGCTGTTTCGTTCAGTTATTTTAATCTGAAATTACATGTTTCACGCAAATGGCCTTTGACCTTTTTTCAAAGAAAGCATTAACAGAAAATTCTGTCGCCTTGGGGAGGAGTCGAGAATCCACACACATCCTGTATCCTTAAGGGACTTTGGGTTTTGTGGGAAATACCCAAATGGTTTTAGTGTAGTTGAAGTCTATATGTAAATAGAATTCTTTTAAATTATCCGTAGATTAATTTTGAGTTTCTCTATCTACATAAATCTGTAGAATTGGAGCAGAACCCATGAGGTTTTGCAGAACGCTTCTCTCTTCTGGGAAGGGGTCAGCTGGAGCTGACTTCTTCCTAACAAATGTTCATGCAGCTTGTTAACATCCAAGAGCCTGCATATCTGCATTGTACCAGGGAACTTCTTCCTGCAGCTTATTATGCTTATTGTTAGAAACCACCTTGCTTTCATGCCTAAAGTTGTATATTAATAGCACCTGTGAGAGCTTGAGTTTGTTCTGATGGACCTAATACAGTATCTGGAGCCTGGGTTTAAAATGAATAGAGCAGTTGTGTTAAAGACATAAATGAAAATCCAACCCTGCAGAAGCCTTAGGTACTATGTCTCACTTAAAAGCAAAAAGAGATATTGCAATACCTTAGCTATACTTTTTAACAAAATCTATTTGTGGTTAAACATACCAGTCTCCATTTTGCCCCAAACCCATAGATAGTTTGTCCCAAAAATGCACTTGACTGCTGTGCAGAGGAGGTATGAGCAAGGTTTCCTAAATGAGTGGGTTCCTAAAATAACTTCTTGATTGCTGGCTTAGGTTCCAGATGCAATAGGATGAAATTCCATTTGACTTGGTCATCTTTAGGTTCCTCGTAATACAATATAACAACAGTAACAAGAAACAATTTTATAACATGTTAATATGCTGTACATACATAGAAAAAAAATCCTTCGTTGGTAGGTGATGCCATCATTCGAGGTCTTAAGGCTTCAGGGCAAGGCTCTTGTTTTCCTGAGAGCTGGTTTATGAAAAATGGATAAAGATGTGTTTTGCAAAACACTGTTATTCTTGACTGTTTCCTGACAGTATTGCTGTCTGAGCAGATGTGGAGAGCTGGATTATTATTTTTAACCCACCGATGCAGAATTCTCAGTATAACTTTCTGCATTCTCTCACCGAGGAAATTTCTACACACAGTTCTCTCTGGTGTAAGCATTCAGAAGGCCTCAATATTGAAGGAGGTTAATACTTCAGCTCTTGTTTAGAATACTCCAGGCCACCTGTACGCCATCAAATGGGAGAACATAGAGGGACCATGAAGGAGGTAGCTCTTCTAGTTTTGCAGGAGTGCCTTCATGGTACTATGAAAGGAGCAAATGTAGACCTTATAGCAGCCTTCCAGTACCTGAAGGGGGCTACAGGAGAGCTGGGGAGGGACTCTTTGTCAGGAATTGTAGTGACAGGACAAGGGGTAACGGTTTTAAACTGAAAGGGGGGAGATTTAGAGTAAATACTATGAAGAAATTCTTTGCTGTGAGGGTGGTGAGGCACTGGAACAGGTTGCCCAGAGAAGCTGTGGCTGCCCCATCCCTGGAGGGGTTCAAGGCCAGGCTGGATGGGGCTTGGAGCAACCTGGTCTGGTGGGAGGTGTCCCTGCCCAGGGCAGGGGGGTTGGAACTCAATGATCTTTAAGGTCCCTTCCAACTCTAACTATTCTATGATTCTATCACAACGTGGCTTTAGAGACCAACAGCTTAAAAACACCTATGAACAGTTTTTCATTGTAGATGCTGGTGCTAACTGATAAAGGCTTATTAGGTGCCAGGTGCAAGATGAAGTATTAGTTCACAACGATAACAGCTGTGGAGGATTTGCATCCACTTCTCCATAGGGCAGGCAGACTGTTGGATGTGTTCAGGACTTACTACAGCCAAGCTGGAATGCACAAAGTCACTTGGCTGTAAGAATCTGGCTGTGTGTCTGAGACCTTGCCAAGATGACTACAGAGACACGAGGAATTGCTTGTGCATTGCCAGTCCGGTGCTCGCTGAAAGCTTCAGTGATCTATGGAGAAGAATTCTCAGGAGTAGGTTCTCGTGTATCCATCATCACTGCTGAAGACTCGTGTCTCCTGACGCGTAGTCCATAGTGTAAATGCAGGCCAGTGTCAGGCTACAGTTCTCTGCGTTAATTCTCACCTCATAATGTAACGGTGTGTTTTCCACAATTGCTGGGGAACATCTGGCTGGCCATTGTAGTTGTAAAACAAGCAGGTGTGCCTTCAGGTAGAGGGGTGCATATATAGATTAGAAAGTAGAGCAGAGATAGATCATTTAAGACACAGAAGCACAGAATGATATGGGGTTAGAAGAGACCTCTGGAGATCATCTAGTCCAACCTCCCTGCCAAACAGGTCCACCCAGAGCAGGTTGCACAGGAACGTGTCCAGGTGGGTTTGAATGTCTCCAGAGAAGGAGACTCCACCACCTCTCTGGGCAGCCTCTTCCAGGGCTCTGCCACCCTCACAGGAAAGAAGTTCCTCCTCATGTTTAGTTGTTTGGCTCAGATGGTGGAGTCATAAAGCTTGTGACTGAGCTACTGCCTTCATTCCTTGTTCTGCTGCTGTTTAGACATTCCATGTGCCTTAACGCCACAGTTTCTGCCTCCTCTACTTCCCTACAGCTGTGTGGCTAGGTTTCCTCCTCCTCTACTTCCCTACAGCTGTGTGGTGTTCAGAAGGCTAGAGGAGCTGGTCAAGTCTATCTGCTTTCCCATCCCAAAATTTACTGGGCTCTGTAGTGTTCTGTGTGGCTAGCATGTTGGTGTAGCTCTCTACTTAGAGGTTGGCACATACTCCTAGCTAAATATGCTAGCATGTTGGTGTAGCTCTCTACTTAGCTAGGAGTATGTGCCAACTTTTAAATACTGCTAGGTCAGGGATATTACTTTCTAGGCCCTGTGTTGCCTTGTTTTGAACCACCTAAACAGATAGTTTGGGTTTTGGGTGGTTGTTTTGGTTTGTTCTTTCTAACCTAGATACTTAATTGTGAAGCTTATCAGGGGCTGCTTATCTGCACTCTTCTACCAGCAGAAGAGCAGCGGCAGCAGCCTCTGTTGAGAGTCCTAAGGTTTCCCTGGATTAGCTGTCTGTAGTTGTTACAAGAGCAGCGGCAGCAGCCTCTGTTGAGAGTACTAGAGGTTTCCCTGATTAGCTGTCTGTAGTTGTGTTAAAGTAAGGTGAAGTCTTGTACTGCACAATCTCAGGTAACTTTATGCACTAGAATGTTTTGACATCTCCATTCCTTTCCCTTAATTGAAAGCTGCACTTCCCTAGGTGAAGGGTCTGTTCAGACTACCTTAGGTAATAAGTAGATCCCCAAGAATGATGTTAGGCAATATCCTGGAGAGAAATGTGCTGAATTCCTTCCTCTTGAGAAAAGTCATACTTGAGCTATTTATTCCTTTTGAAGCTCTGGCTTTAGCCTGAGAAGGAATTTGCCTGGAAGGTCTTGCTAATCTACACAGCTCAAGTGCTTTTCATCAATTTATTCAGATGATTATCTCAATGTGATAGAGTCAAGCTGTTTCACTAACAAAGTATTAGTCCTCTTCCAGCCACAGACAGAAGTGTTTTCCCTGAATATCTCATTTCTAAGAGTCTTTTAGTTATAGATACCATCTGTATCTGATTCTTTCACTGCTTTTTCCTGTGTTTTTGTTATTTGCATGCCAGAAAAGACTAATGTATCCCACTTTACTACATGATGCTGCAGAATGCATGCAATTAGGCAGTTTCTGTAACTTCTTACAAACATTCCACTTAAAACATGTCTGCAGTTCAAAACTCTTTTACCAAGCAGTAATCACAGATTTAAAAAAAATAATAATAAAAAAACCCACCCAAAAGCCTTTACCAAGCAGTAATCACAGATTTAAAAAATAATAATAATAGAAAAACCCACCCAAAAACTTAGTGTTTGGCTTTAAAAAAGGCATGTGCCAAGTCCAAATTTTTGTTGAAAAAAGCATTTTTCTTTTAAGTGAATTCAGTCAATTCAATTTTAATTGAAATTTGATTACATATTTGGTAAAGCGATTGTTATAAATTGCTTTCTTCAAGAGGCAGCTTGTTTAAGGTGGATGTTGCTTGAACTTCACTAATGTTTTTCTCAACTGTAACGGGTCTTTCTAAGAGCCAATCCGAAGGTTTCTTTACTCAGAATTTCAAATTGTGTTAGAACTGCAGAAGAAAAATCTTTACTTCGGAATGATTTTGATGATCTAAAATACTGCTGAGTTTCTTCCAAACAGATTAAATAACTAATTAATCTCCTAAATAGGTTTCCAAGAACATAGAGAAATTTTTGTGATGTTCTTGAACAGTCTGAAATTGCTTGAGGTTCCTGATCGTGGTGCGTGCGTACAAACTAAATGAGGCTCCCTTGCTACAGAAGGCTGTGCTCCTGTGTGTAATTACAGCTGAGTGCAATTACTTTTTCTTACCTGATAATGCAATTCCTGTGATTGAAAGCTCCGTGGCAGATGCTGTTTACTGTGCAGCCAGAAATACTTGGGGTCAGGTTAATTATTAATTAATTACTGTCAACAGTGTAAGAAGACCTAAGTTCATCATAATGTGTTCTGCTTAGGTCACTGAGCGAATGTGTAGCTTGCCAAATATAGCAAGATAAAGAAAATGCAGTAGGTGCCATCTACGAGCTGGGCTTTGTAGTTATTACTGCCTTTCAGCTTGCCTGTAATTAATATTATTCACGTAAGCTTGGATGTAACACTCCAGCTTTTTAAAATGTGTTTGGAGGACCACAAACACAACATACAATAGGAAAGGATCGTTAACTCATTTCAGAATGGATAGTAAGCCCAATCTACATGTTCTCCTTTGGAAGGAGGGTAAAACCAGGCTTATTACTTGCAAGTTTAAATATTAAATAAAACTGTAGTAGAAAGGTCTGTAATCAGCAGCATATTCCCTCCTTAGGTGGGCACCTAAGGAGAGTTAAGAGGGGGAAAAACTTCATGCAAAGACACATAATCTTGATTCAAAGCAATGATAGTTCTTCAGAAACTTAGTGACTTAAAAAAAAAGTTCTGTTTAAACACAATAGCTCTGGTAGACTACTTACAATAGATTATTTATTTCCCTACTTATTGTTTTCCAGTGTAGACACTTACTCTGAGGTATCCCATTCATAAGAAACATGAGAAGAAATCAAATCCAGGATGAAGCAATGACTGTGTCCAGTATTAATCCCCAGGAGAGGGTTATTTCGGGTGACGTAGGGTCATAACTGGTGAAGCAGTAGACTAAAACTGAGTAAATAGAATATTCTGAACTGATTAAATTTATTTTGAACTTCTACAGCTTTTTGGAGCTCCTTGGCTTGTATTTGAAAGCAGCTTTTATATACCTGTGAACACATACCTGTTTCTAATGGTTCTGTAAAATGGGTGCAGTGAAGCTAATGTTGTTGGTTTGACTTTTTCCAGAGAGAGTTATGGTCTCTGAAAAGTCACATTTAATAGTATGCGCGATTTCTTTTTTTATGATATGTGATACTTGACATATCATGCTTGGATATGCAAAGTAGCAAAAGCAGCAGCAGTCCTAACTATAAAATAATTGAAGATTTAAGAAAAAACAAGTCTTTAATTTCCTTTTTTAAAAAACAAAGCAAAAATAACTTCTGTGGGCATAGTATAAGAAGCTTCCCACTGCAGCAGCAGCTTTCTAGCAGTCCTTTACAGGTTAGAACATTTGACTGCTTTATCTTGCCTGTTTAAATAAACAACTTAGTTGAGACTATTCCACGAATGCAGCAATGCAGAATTCTCTTTCCATTATGAGAATTGTTTAAATGGAGATTAGAGTTTTATTTCCCTACTCTGAAGCATTTGGTGATGTTTTAATTACTATTTCAATTATTTTTAATGGCATCACTGGCCTCCCTAGAAACATCTAAGTAGAAGGGATGCTTGAAAGCTTTCCCACCCCCACCCAAGTGCTTATTTAAAGATGAGCACAAGTACTTATATAAAGGTAGTTTCTCTCAATCTGTAGATGAGGCATTTTGTGCCTCCTTCCTGGGCTGCACTTGGGCTTTTCTGGGCCAAGCATGTTTCAGAACATTTATAACAGTAACTAATTTCTGAATCCACTTCTCTCCTTCCTATTCTTTGTATTTAGTTCTTGAGTATTTTGATAATCTGTAGGCCCTGCCACATAATGAGAGATCTCTTTTGGCTTGTGCTGAGTTTTTCTCACTTGTTCTTAGGGAGTAGTAGCTGTGTAATTCGGGATAGAAGTCCAACTGAAATCTTTTATGGAATAACTAGTCTTTTAAAGAGATGAAAGACTCTTCTACAAAAGTAGTTAGTTACAAAAACACTTCTCAGATCTGCCACATGAGTTGTGTTTATAACAAAACGAAATTGGAAAACGTGTCCAACTGAAATCTTTTATGGAATAACTAGCCTTTTAAAGAGGTGAAAGACTCTTCTACAAAAGTAGTTAGCTACAAAAACACTTCTCAGATCTGCCACACGAGTTGTGTTTATAACAAAACAAAATTGGAAAACGTGTGGTGGCAGGATTGTTCTTTTCTGTATATTTGTACTACAGTCCAAAAACAAAGCTTTCCCCCCTTGATTTGAATTCAGTTAACAGTCTCCTCTCTGTGGCTTAAATGTTAAGGTTGGTTGGGGTTTTTTTTGCCCACTAGTTTAATAATGTGAACAATTTATTTCTTATCTGTTATTTATATGCCTTGAGATATCTGCAAATGTATTATGGCCTGCCTTGTTCTTAATAGTTCAGTGAAAAGTCCTACAGCAAACTGGTTTTCTCATAATCAGTGTTTTTCATTCTCCTTATCCTTGTGCCTCCTGGAAACCTAAAATGTGGCCAGCAACTTAGAGGTCACCAGAGATGGGATTTGATTTTGGTTTTGAAGTAGTAAGTCCAATTGTTGCTTGCCAGCTTCTAATCCAAGAGGAAAAAATCCACCAGCTGCTGGTTAACTGTGGAAGTTGTCTCCCAGGCTAATATCCTGAATAGTTCACCTCAGAATCACAGTGACATCAACTTTCTATGGTTTGTCTCTAAGTTTAAATAAAAGAATACTCACTAAGCTGTTCACAAAGTCTCGAGTGGTAGTCCCAGCCCTTCGAGAGGCATTTAAACGTTACTGGGATAGAAGTAAAGATTTAAGAGTCTTAATTGGCCGAGGTTACTGGCAAAACATAATTTATACTTCATAAGCATTGTATAAAAGTGGCATATCTGGTTTGCATGTCTTTTGAGTGTGCTATTCATAGCCGTGGTGTTGTTTTGCAGACAATGGCACGTGGACTCAGCTGTGGTTGGTGTCAGACTATCACGAGCACGGATCGCTCTTCGATTACCTGAACAGGTACACGGTGACAGTGGAAGGGATGATTAAATTAGCTTTGTCCACTGCCAGTGGCCTTGCTCATCTTCACATGGAAATTGTTGGCACGCAAGGTAATCTTACAACTCTTCACCCTGTCATGTGGAGAATACTGTTTGTTTTTTTTTAAAAAATGACACATACTCTCCCTACTCTAATTGTTGTCCTAATTAGAGCATTGAATCTTTCCAGGCTGTAGTTGCTTTGCACACAGCCAGTTACTTATGTGATGAGAAGGCAGCTGAATTCAGCACAGATACCCAAGTTAATCCCTTGTGGGAGCTGAGTGAATTGAAAAATGTCTGTTTGGGATCTGTGATCATCTCTGAACAAATAGAACTTTTTAATTTGGAGGGTGTTTTACCTTCCTTTCTATGGTGTATCCAGGTTTTGTGATGTAATCATCCTTCCTACAAAACACCTATTGGAAGGGATTAAGTAACAATCCCTGTAGTATCTTAACTTTGATTTGAGACAGCACGATGGGTTTCTTTCCAGAGATATTAGAAACCTTTGTGGCAAGTATTATGTGTACACAATAGATACTTGGAGGAAGAGGGAAGGGACAGGAGAATGGAATAATACAGTAAATATTGAAGGTGCTTTTCTGCATAGCTCCAGTCCGCAATGAAAGATTGCAGGAGGAATCTTAATGCTCATAAAGCAGCAGAACTGGAATGAATTCTGTAACTTCAAACAAAATCTGCACCAGGCTTAGAATAAAAGCAATTATATTTTTCACAGATGTGTTATTTCTATTGTGTTTTGATTTATTTTTTTTTTCCCCTTCCAGGCAAACCAGCGATCGCCCACAGAGATTTGAAATCAAAAAATATATTGGTAAAAAAGAATGGGACGTGCTGTATTGCAGACCTTGGACTGGCAGTGAGGCACGATTCAGCTACAGATACAATTGATATTGCCCCAAACCACAGAGTGGGAACAAAAAGGTAAAACCATTAACCTGATGTGTCAGGCCACTTTTATTATAAAATGCTTTTTTTTTTTCCCTTGTCCCATAGAAGGATTTTATAGGTACAAACACAAGCAGCAGGAAAATGTAAAGACTGGCAAGTAGAGTTCATGGTTACTTTCTTGTCAGATGGTAATTTAATTAGACCACAGGTGCTTAAAAAGCATATTGAATCTTGGCATTTATTACTAGCATGTGTAAAACATACAAAAACTTGCAAAATATTTTGGGGCACAGGCATATATTAAAACAACTAGGAGACTTCATGAGTGACTGTTTTGGAGACTTTATTCATACCTTTATTCTTTTTGCCTTGTGTTGCGTGGAAACATTGCTTGCAGCTGGATCTGGAGGGTTAAGATGGTAATTTAATTAGACCACAGGTGCTTAAAAAGCATATTGAATCTTGGCATTTATTACTAGCATGTGTAAAACATACAAAAACTTGCAAAATATTTTGGGGCACAGGCATATATTAAAACAACTAGGAGACTTCCTGAGTGACTGTTTTGGAGACTTTACTCATATCTTTATTCTTTTTGCCTTGTGTTGTGTGGAAACATTGCTTGCAGCCGGATCTGGAGTGTTCAGACAGGATATTGACAGTGAAAGTAAAAAGCTGGGTCTGTTTTTTCTGAGTGAAGTCTTTGTGGTAGAACGTACAAGGTGCAGAGTTTTGGATGTGGGCTTCTGTGGGATCATAGTTTTTGAGAGAAATACGAGAACTTAAAACAGCAGTCATCTTTGTCATCTAATACATAAATAGAATTGTCAATGGATGAGTCAGTATTACTCCCTTTCTTTTGAAGGCCTGCCTCTGAATTTGGAAATACGGATTTTTCTTGTCCTCAAAAGAACTCAGAGCCGGTCAACTCCAACACAAGTGCAATTAAACTTATTAGCTGTAACTTATCATTGCTGGACTTTCAGATAATAATAACTGGAGGCTATCCTGAAGAGATTAGTTTCCTTTCATCTGTGCAGCTCTACAGCACACAGGGACAGCAGCACTAACACTGAACCACAGCAATGGAGCTGTGTGATGTGGGCACCTTGTTGTCCTTTTGATGCCTGTGGGTCCAGCGGTCTGGCGAACAGAAGTTTGGATGCCTGTCGTGGAGAAACGTGTGGAAGCCCAGTGGTTCAGGGCTGTACGTGATTAACTTCAGCCTATGGCCCTGCAGTGTTAGAGAACATTCTGTGATTGTGTTGCCCCATCTCTAATCCATACATAAAAATGACTGATTTTATCTCTTTAGTAGTGATACTGCAGGGGAGTGGATGGCTGTGATTGGGGTTTTATGGGCAGATGAGATATACATTCTGAACTACTACTAAATTACAAAATATGGGCGTTATTCCTTCTCAAAAATTACCTTCTCTGGTGATCATTGGTAGTAAAACAGCAGCGTACTTTGGTATTTGTCATTGCAAATTTATCTTTGTGTAAGGTGCATACCATGTGTGAATTGGTCTTTTGTACTAGACCTATATGTGAAAAATAACGTGCAAATCAGTTAGTTTTAGTGTAGTGTTTGGAGAAAGCCTCCTTTTAGCTGTGTCTGTGGATCTCACATGGAAGATCTCTTCTTGCGTAGGCGCTATTAAATTGCTTGTTCATCTGCCTTGCGCTTCTTCCCAAGGGTAAAGCTGTAGCAACTAAGTCCCACTTTAAGGACACTGGTCACTTCTAACCCTCTGAAAATTCTTTGTTCTCATAAAAGACTGGCCCCCTCTTCCTCCATCTTCTGCATTCTTCGTTAAGTAACTTGGCAACTCTGGTTAATTTTTCATAACAAAGTTCAGATCTTACCGGTTTAACAACAATTTGAACTCTCATTGATTCCCACTGCTGGTAGCTCTTCTGCACATGGGGGCTCTCTGTGCAAGTTCAGGGAGACTTGTCTAAGCTGATATTTTTCCAGTGACTGTCTGTTGAGATAAATGTGTGGTCTAGGAAGCCGGCAAGGCTCGTTCTTGGGTGCTGATGTAGGTGCTGAATCAGACTGACGATCCTTCTCTCTGACTGAGTGAATCAATCTTTTTTTTTTTCTGTTCAGAGGGTTGGTTTTCCCAGATGGTGTGAGTCGTGTGCTGTCACAGCTCAGCCTGCAGCACCCAGCAGGGAACGCCAGCTTTAAACTGAGAAGGAAATAGAATCCCTCTCACACTCCCTGTGGCAAGTTAAAAAAAAAAAGAGACTAATTCTTTTTTTTTCTCCTTTCTTGGAGAAGTGTAGCCCAACTGTTACTTTTGGTAGTCCAAATAGGCTGTGTTTAAAAGAGATTTGGCTGTGAATTCCACCAGAAAGTTGATGCTTTTCTGCAGTTTACCCAAACGTGATAGGAGCTATGATAAATGTGATAGGATTCTGGCTGTGCTTGTGGAGAACAGGCTTGGTGGTGGGAGATGTCACAGGCAACGTGTCGTGTACAGGTCCTGGTTGATGACACCGAGCTCCTTGTATGCTGTACAAGAAATTTAGGTGACTAATACAGAGCTTTTGGACTAAAACGGGTGGGGAAGAGGTCAGTGGGCACCTGAAGTTTGGCACAGCCATGCCTGACATAATTGCAGACTGCTTTGTAGACTTACCCTTTCATTCTTGGAGGGTACTTAGCTGCTGACCTGCTTCAGAAGGTCAAAATCAGTTTATGTAGAGTAGTTCTGTCCAGAATCTAAAATACCATTTCTGACAAGCAATGCATTTCCAATGTACAAGCTGACAAGGAGATGCATGTTTCTCTCCCTTCTCTCTGATGGCCGTGAAACACCTAATCTGCTGTCTGCACTAGCTGACCTACTTGCCTTTCGCCTCTCTTCTTCCAGCAGTAATGTCTCAGGCTTTTTGAGCAGTCAGTCTCCATTCTGAGTTACGGAAGCCAAAGCCAATGTAAATGCATTGGTGGAGGAGCATGGTAGGAGGTCAGTTTGCTGATGAATTCAATGGAAGTCACATTTCAGGGGGGGAAATTTTTTCCTTTTGAGGCTGTCAGTTCAGCTCTGTTGCCACGTTCAGGCCTCTTACAGTCTTTTGTGTTAAAACCCTTGTCCTTAGGATGATTTACAGAAACTGAGGCAATCTCCTTTACTGCTTGTGTAAGTGATTCTGGCTGACAGGCTTGTAACACGATTGGGTTTTTTGTTTGGTGTTTTTCCAGCTCCATCGCTCTTACCATCCCCGTGTGATCTTAAGATAGATCAAGTATTCTTTCTAGACCCAAAGCTGAGTGCTATACTGTTAAGTAAGTGAAGCAGCAGAAGAAAATTATCCAGTAATGCAAGATCCTTGGAAAACATTAAAACACCCGCCACAATCTTGCATTCTTGATTAAATAGTTTTTCATATGGGTGGCCCAGAATAATTTGAGCCTTGTCCATATCAAAGATTGTGACATATGTAAACCATTCCATTCAATAAATACTGTCAAAGTAAACCTTATGTTCCTCTTCACACAGTTGTCCTCTGCTTGTGCTGGGTTATCACTTGTGGGGGATTTACATGCCTGTACAGAGCTTAAGGAGAAATCTTATGTTGGCAGCCCTTGGTGAAGTTGTGGTTTTACAGTTGTGGTTTTGCTCTTCTGATGATCGCCCTTGCTTCCTTGTATGTCTGTCCTTTCCATAAGACCCAGTAGTGCTGAGAGAGTTCTGAAAGGTCTGATAATCCTCCAATTTATTTTAAGTAGTGTGTATTGTATTCTGCCTACCCCTGCTGGTGGCAGGGAAAGAAAATCCTAGTGTCACGATGATTAAATGCAATTGTGCAGAGGCTTCTGTGGCTGTTCCTGAGGCTGAGCTATTGTATAATTCCTGGAGTGGAACACAATGTTGGGCATGGTTATTTTTTATCAGTTGGCTGTGCTCTCCTAAGCCCTGGTGTCACTCTTTGCCTGCTGTCCACACAGACATTTTGATGTTCCCACCTGAGGCCTGGTCACTAAACAAGGCAACAAGTCACTTGGATGCCACGCCAGTTTTCAGTCCCCGTTGTCCTCAGCTGAAAGTCTGTCACAGATTATTTTTTTTTCTATCACAGAAAATGTTGATAAAGTAAACTTTTATTGTGAGCGCAGTTGTTAATGTATGACCCAAATAGGACTTACTATGGTTTATGGTGGTGCTTATCTACTGTGGTGGTAGGGAGGTTTTCTTTTCAAGGAATCCTTAACATTGCTGCTTTTTTAACCAGCCTTTCATGTTCTATTCCCTCTCTAATTCTACTAGAGAATGTTATAAGGGGCTGCTTTATCTTGGCACGTTCCAGGAGCTGAGGCTTCCTCCTGCCTGGCCTCTGGAGACCAGCCTGATGTGTCTAAAGGCTTGGGGGCTCTCTCCATCCCAAGCCCATGGCTGTGGCTGCTGCTTCCTTACTTGGGGTTCAACCATGACTGAGGCTGGGTACTGACACACACAGGACTGGCAGGGCTGGTGACACAGATTACTAGACACCACGTGCTGTCTTCAACACCCACATAAAAGAGTCAGAACTTGTATAAAATGTAAGCATAGATGGCCAAGTCACAGAATCACAGAATGATATGGGGTTAGAAGAGACCTCCGGGATCATCTAGTCCAACCCCCCTGCTAAAGCAGGGCCACCCAGAGCAGGTTGCGCAGGAACTTGTCCAAGGTGGGTTTGGAATGTCTCCAGAGATGGAGACTCCACCACCTCTCTGGGCAGCCTCTTCCAGGGCTCTGCCACCCTCACAGGAAAGAAGTTCCTCCTCATGTTTAGGTGTTTGGCTCAGATGGTGGAGTCATAAAGCTTGTGACTGAGCTACTGTCTTCATTCCTTGTTCTCCTGCTGTTTAGACATTCCACGTGCCTTAATGGCACGGTTTCCTCCTCTTCTACTTCCCTACAGCTGCGTGGTGTTCAGAAGGCTCGAGGAGCTGGTTAAGTCTATCTGCTTTCCCATCCCAAAATTCACTGGGCTCTGTAGTGTTCTGTGTGGCTAGCATGTTGGTGTAGCTCTACTTAGCTAGGAGTATGTGCACAGGAACGTGTCCACACAGGATTTAAATGTCTCCAGAGAAGGAGACTCCACCACCTCTCTGGGCAGCCTCTTCCAGGGCTCTGCCACCCTCAAAATGAAGAAGTTCCTCCTCATGTTTAGGTGGAACTCCTTATGTTCAAGTTTGTGCCCATTCCCTCTTGTCCTGTCGAGTCTCCTTCCTTCTGTGCAGCTGATCAGGATTGAACTTCATTAGTGAAAACACACACAGCCTTTTGCAGCCTTACCAGTCCATGCATATTTATGAATCCCTCAATTATCATTACAACCCTCAGTGTGTCTAATTGTCCTCTTCTGTGCTCCACAGGTCTCATACTCTCTAGCTGGGCTGGGTTACTCGTGATAGCACACCTACATGCACGAATTCCCTCAAATACCAGCACAGGCTGTCCCCCTGTCAGAAACCCCTGCCTGGGCCACCTGTTTGCTGGCCAGACCAGCTTGAGGTTTGCTGGTGAATTACATCCATGCACACCTGGTTTGGGGAAAATAGAGACCTGGTGCAGGGCTCAGGCAGACCAGAGGTGTGACTGGCAACTTCTTATGCAACTGGTTCCTTTGATATTCTTTTCTATCTGTTGCCTCAGTGTTGTTCCTCCCGGTTTCCCTTCTCCTGAACATTCCCTGATAAGCATTCAGGAGTCCCACAGGCCTCCCCTGAACATCCACAATCTTCATCTTCCTCATGTTTCCCACTCATTACTGGTCACAGCGTCCAGGCTGGCCCTCTCTGAAGCTTTCCCTGGAGTTCCTCACCCACCAGAGACTTTGGGGCTTTGTCACGGCCTTTGGTATCTCGTGTCTTACAGATTTAGAGCTCTGTTTGTTTATTATTTCACATTTCACTTATTCCCCCTGTTCCTTTGCTTGTTCCTCTCAGTTTACTTATTATCCTCTTTGCAATGAAAGGTTTTGATTGGATAACCTTAATGAAGCAGATCTTCGTCTCCTTTTCCACATCAATATTTAAAATTTGGGGTTGAGCTGATTAGTATCGCTGAACTTTCTCTACAGTAAATATTTGTGAAATCAAATGTTTTCTTTTTTATTTTTTATTATTTCAAATAGGTACATGGCACCTGAAGTTCTAGATGATTCCATAAATATGAAACATTTTGAGTCATTCAAACGAGCAGACATCTATGCAATGGGATTAGTGTTTTGGGAAATAGCTCGGCGCTGTTCAATCGGTGGTAGGTGGCAATCTTTACAAAATTGGATATACAAAGGAGTGATAAGTTACTTACAGAACCTGAATTAGTTTGAGTAAACATTTTGCTCTAAAATGGTGCAAAGTAACAGCCAGTTCATTTCAGACTTTGTAGCTGTTAATCCTGTAGATGATGACTAGTGCATTCAGCCTCTTTGTAAATTGATGAGCCATACCTGTTGAAGAAAATAGGAACTGGCCTTCTCTCTATTAGTTTTTCCTGAAACCCAAAAAAGGGTGATGTTAAATGTCCTTGAGAGCAAGAGACAAACACCACAAGCAAGGGCTGTGTTTGGGTGACACCCATGCCTTGTTTAAAATAAAACATGCTATTGTAAATCATATGCTTTCAAGAAGTGTCTTTAGTATAACATACGAAAGATTTGATACAGCTTCCATCTTTTCTAAATATATAAGCTCGAAATTAAAAATTCTTCAAGGGTAATGGAAATACTCCTAAGGTATGGTTAAGGATTCTTTTTTTTTAATTTATTTATCAGTCATTGTAATGTCATATTTTTAAAAAATGAAAACCAAAAAAAGAAAATGGTAGGGTACTGATAAGGAACACAGTAAAAAATGAAGATTATGTAATTTATTTTTAACTAAAATAAGTTTATTTTCACCCCATTGCAGGGATCCACGAAGATTACCAGTTGCCGTACTATGACCTGGTTCCTTCAGATCCTTCTGTGGAAGAAATGAGGAAGGTTGTGTGTGAGCAGAAGTTAAGGCCCAACATTCCAAACAGGTGGCAGAGCTGTGAGGTACTGACCAACCTTCAGAAAGCTGCTGTAATGGGCTCTGGAGCTTTATGGGTTTCAGTGGTTTAGAAATTGTGCTGCCTGTTGAAGGGAAATGGGTTCCTTCTACAAGAACTTCATTTCATCCTGGTCACTGTGGTTTTATTGAATGTTATCCATCCTTGGTTATACATCGATATTTAATGTGACATCACAAAAATTAATAGATAACCCTGCATGGAGGAACCTGGGCTCCCTTCCCCTGAAGTGTAGGTGACGCTGATGTAAATTAAGAGCTAGTCTGATTTAGGGAACCCAAACAGTGTGATAGCACAGCCCTGTTCTAGCCACTGGTGCTGACACAGCTTCAAGGCTTGCCCTCTTTGCCTCTCTTGCCCCCTGTCCCCCCTCCGTTGCCCAGTGGGCTGGGGGTGGACGAGAGGCTGCGAGGAAAAGAATATCCTACAGAGTTGCCAAAATAACACAAGTTTTCATCCGAAGCTGAGACTCTGAGCCAGAGACTTAGGAATGAGAGGTTGATGAGACACGGTGTGCCCGAGGTGGAGGAGGGAGCTGTGCTGTGAGGTGAGGGATTGGGCAGGAGAACACAGGGAAGAGAGAAAGGCAGCGACACACACCAAGGGATTGTAGTGTTGTTTCTTTAAATGCTGCCATTCCAAACAGAGGGAGCTGTGCTGTGAGGTGAGGGATTGGGCAGGAGAACACAGGGAAGAGAGAAAGGCAGCGACACACACCAAGGGAGTGTAGTGTTTTCTTAAACGCTGCCATTCCAAGCCTGCAAACTTGCCTGGCAGCTCAACAGGACACAGCTTTGAGGGTAAAATATTAGAAGGTAGAGCTATTACTTCATTTCATCTTCAGTTGTTATTTGCAGTGTTGCTTGTGCAGCAGCATTCACAAACTTCAAGGAATGGCCGTTTGAAGGATAAAAAGACTCCAAAACTTTTCAGAGTCATTACAAGAGCTTCAATTTGAGGAAATTGGCTTGATAAACTTCTAAATTGCTATACATTGGGCTAACTCCTCAGAAAGCAATTTGTGACTGAAGGAAGTGATTGAGTACATTCCCAGCTACACGGTAGTTCTGTGCCAACACAGATACCTCCTAATGTATTCCTGCTTGTCAACTGAGGGCAGGATAAAAAGTGTATTTTTGTCTAATGCAAAAATTCAGAAAACACACCTCCTCATTTTTATCAAAACATTTTTGCACGGGCTGAAATTCTGCTGAAAAAATAGTAGTTTTGTTTTATCGTCCTTTTAAAGTATTTTATTTTTCTGTAAATAAAGGAAGAGTTGGAGATTTTTATGCAACTCTTCCATGCAGCTGTAGTGATAGTAACAGATTTCAGGAATGTAGGAAGAGGCTAAGGTGGGAGGGAGGTTCCGTGGGCTGTGCCAGAGCAGCAGGAGGTCACAGAATCACAGAATCATCGAGTCCAACCACAAAAAAAAACAAACCAAAACAAAAAAAACCCACCACACAACCACCACAAAAACAACAAACCCAAAACCACCACCCACCAACTAAACCCCACACACTACACCCCACCACAAACCAATAACCTTGGGCACTAGAGCATGCCCTGAAGAGCCATGTCTACACGTTTCTTAAATCCCTCCAGGGATGGTGACTCCACCACCTCCCTGGGCAGGCTGTTCCAGTGCCTGACCACCCTCTCAGGAAAGTAGTTCTTTCTAATATCTAATCTAAACCTCCCTTGCCCCAACTTTAGACCATTTCCTCTGGTCTTGTCGTTGGTCCTTTGGGAGAAGAGGCCAACACCCACCTCTCTACACCCTCCTTTCAGGTAGTTGTAGAGGGCAATGAGGTCTCCCCTCAGCCTCCTCTTCTCCAAACTAAACATGCCCAGTTCCCTCAGCCTCTCCTCGTATGACTTGTTCTCCAGACCCCTCCCCAGCTTGGTGGCTCTCCTCTGGACACGCTCCAGCACTTCAATGTCCTTCTTGTAGTGAGGGGCCCAGAACTGACCAGCAGCAGGAGGTGTAATTCCTTGTTTTTCTTTCGCAGGCCCTCCGGGTGATGGCCAAAATCATGCGGGAGTGCTGGTACGCCAACGGAGCCGCTCGGCTCACCGCTCTGCGCATCAAGAAAACCTTATCGCAGCTTAGTCAGCAGGAGGGGATAAAGATGTAATCCTGCATTTGCTACCGAAGAAAACTGTAAAAAAGAAAGAAAAAAAAGAAAAAAAAAAATCCCTATCTGCACCAGAGTGGCGTGTTAAGAAGGTCAATTGTTCTACCTCAGTGGGGGAACAGAAGGATATTGCTGCCTTTTAGTACTTCATAGGAACGTCACTTGTTAGGATTTTTGTGGACGTGCTGAGCAGTTGTGTCGGGTCCTTTCTGTGCACTATGAACCTCTTTCCCAGGTTACTTACAAAAACATGGTGTAGTCTAGTTTTATTTTTATTAACCTATAATTTTTTTTTTTTTTTTAATTTGCAGAGTCGATAGCTGGTCTTAACTTGTAGTTAACTGTGCTACAAATAGGAGGTCACTTTTGAAAGGCAACTGGTTGGCGACGTTCTAGGGTGCATGGATGGCTCTTTTTAAGCAATTTCTTCCTGGCTGGTACATTGGCTGCTCTGAACCACTGTCACAGTTCTGTGCTTCAGATGGGGAATGTACTGCTGGAGTATCCTCTGCCAGCTGTTACCTTAGTAGCTCTTTTGGACTCTTAACCTTGAGTTACAAATTGACCTCATTCAGTTGTGGGAACATAATTTATGCAAACTATACTTTATACATGATTACTGGGGTGTGTTTTTTTTTTTCCACTTTCTCAGTACCTTACGTTACCTTCAGAATAGATTGTATCACACCAGCAAGTGCCGCTTTTCAGTCTTTTAATGCAAAACCAGTCGGAGCGTACAAAGCCTTTGGTACTTTTTGGTTTCAAAAATGCAAGTTTTAAAAATCAACCGTTCCTTTGCGTAATTAAGCTCTAACTCAGACTCGTTTCAGCAAGCGAGTACCTAATTCGTGGAATACCTTTAATTTTACCAAAATCTGACTCTTTAAACCACTGTAGGAGTTTTAAATAGTGTAAGCTAGTAAATTCACTGTCATATTTTGTAATTAAGTCATGAGTCATAATTATATATGAGATGTATCAAGTGGTACTTCTAAAATGCTGGAAGTACCTATCTACTTCAGAAAAGTAGCAAGAGGAGGAAGGTGCTCTTAAGGGAGATCTTGCTCTGTTAAATCAAATACAAAAAGTGTATTTTCTGTGCAGTTCTGCAGAGTCTTAAGGCTCCGAGAACAATATCTGCAATTAAACGAGGATTAAGTGCACCTGTAATTAGGGAGAAGTTATTGGGGCTTTTGTACTAGGAAGTTGAAAGCTGCTTCTAAATCTTAATGTGCATATATTTTTTTGTGTGCCTCATACACAGAAGGTGGTGAGCTGTGGAAGGTGGTGAGCTGCAGGGCTTTGGATACAAATGATGAGGGGATCCCCGTGCTCCCCTCCCTGCCTACAAGAACAAAGCTTACGGGGGTTTGTGCTGTCGTAAGAACACAGAATACGTGTGGCTTTGCTCAAGATTTGCCCGAGATTTTAAGGATATTGCGAGGCTTTTGCAAACTTCTTTCGAAATTGAATTGCCTCCTGCCCAAACATACAACTTCTGGAGGGGACTAAGGGGATTAATATGGAAAATTCTCTTTAAAAAAAACCTGCTGTTACCAGAACTATATATTTTTTTTTTTAGTTGCATTTTTAGGAAGAGTCTGGTTGACTTTTGGCATTATCTGACCAGTCAGGCTTAGGTGCCTTAGGCCTGTGCCCATCAAAGCTGAATGAAAATTGACTCCATGTAGGTATTTTAAATAAACCATGCCCTGTGTGAGTGGGGAGCTGTTCACACCACAGGCTTCTTCAGCCATGACTGTCCTAAAGAAAGGACTGAAGATAACTCCCAAATCTGTCTACTGGCTGTGTGTCTCCAACAAGCTCTATGGATCTAGACAAATATTTAAAGGAAGCAGGTGGCATCAAAGCAGAACTTGCTGTATCTCCCTACTAATCCCAAAGGCTTCCAATTTAAACAACTTATTAACTTTGTTAAATTGTGAGTTTTTCATAAGCATACCTGGATCTTTACTGTAGATTCCAATGGTCTAGTTCCTACTTCAGAATGATCAGGCTCCTGCCACGCTTCGGGTCTTCATAGCAATCTCGATGGTAACACGGGAGAGCTTCCAATACAATTAATCAGATAATTTCATTAGTGGCTTTTTGAGCACCTACAAAACCTTGTCACCCCAACGTTTCCTTTCCTAAGAGAGCTTAACAGCAGGTGCATGGTGGCAGATCATCCAGCCGGTGACACCTCTCCTATCCTCACCCCCTCCTGCTCCTTATCCTCCTGAATTCCCGGCGACTATTTGTACGTTGTTCCAATTTTTTCACTTCCCAACGGAAGCTTGCAAAAACAAAGCCCAGGAAGGATGCCTGAGAGGGCGTGTGACAGCAGGAAGGTTGTTTTGGGTCAACCTTGTTCGTATCGGAACGCAGAACAGGATAATTCCTTATAGAGCTATACGTATCCTGGGTTCTGACACCACAACTTCAAGCTTTGTTCTTCTTTTCCATTATATAAACTGAACACCTTTTACAAAGGCTGTGTCTGTATATATTATGTAACTTTAAATGTTACCTGTGTAAGATCATATCTTCTATATATGGACACAGGTACACATAAGTATTTTTTAAATTAAGATTGTAATATCACCAGATCTGCTCTTGGAAATCCAGGGGGACCAAAATATTTTAGCATTCAAAAATATTAATTTTTGTATCATTTCAAGTATATACCAAAACAGTTTCTGATGAACACTGATGCAAATGTTTATTGTAAATATTACATACATTATACATTCACTTAAGTTTTGTGGATTTCATCGAGTTGACATTTCAGTAGCGTTGAAGCCTCAAGTTTGGTTTACGGCCTCGAGACCGGGTGGACGCGGAGGACAAGGAGCGTTGGAAACGGTCTGATGCCCAGAACGTTGGGGGTTGTTTTTTTTTTTGGAATGCTGGAATTCTTCAGGGACCTTCCAACCTTAAAAGCTGGAATTCTGGGATCTTTCCAAGTGTGACACAGTGTCACCCTCCAGTGGTTCCACCTGTAATCCTAGGAAGGACGCTGTACATAGGGTAGAGACGCTGGGAGTGACTGTAGGGGGGCATGGAGATGGCAGATGAAATAAGAGGCTACTTTATTTTTTTTCAGCAAGGGTTCCGAGTGTGATTGCCATGAAATTCACCTTTTAGTTACTTCCTTGTTTATATTGTGCCATTGAAATGATTGCGAGGTGTTAAGCGTTTTGTGTGGTTTTCCTTTTTTTCGATTTAAACAACTTATTAACTTTGTTAAATTGTGAGTTTTTCATAAGCATACCTGGATCTTTACTGTAGATTCCAATGGTCTAGTTCCTACTTCAGAACCATCAGGCTCCTGCCACGCTTCAGGTCTTCATAGCAATCTCGATGGTAACACGGGAGAGCTTCCAATACAATTAATCAGATAATTTCATTAGTGGCTTTTTGAGCACCTACAAAACCTTGTCACCCCAACGTTTCCTTTCCTAAGAGAGCTTAACAGCAGGTGCATGGTGGCAGATCATCCAGCCGGTGACACCTCTCCTATCCTCACCCCCTCCTGCTCCTTATCCTCCTGAATTCCCGGCGACTATTTGTACGTTGTTCCAATTTTTTCACTTCCCAACGGAAGCTTGCAAAAACAAAGCCCAGGAAGGATGCCTGAGAGGGCGTGTGACAGCAGGAAGGTTGTTTTGGGTCAACCTTGTTCGTATCGGAACGCAGAACAGGATAATTCCTTATAGAGCTATACGTATCCTGGGTTCTGACACCACAACTTCAAGCTTTGTTCTTCTTTTCCATTATATAAACTGAACACCTTTTACAAAGGCTGTGTCTGTATATATTATGTAACTTTAAATGTTACCTGTGTAAGATCATATCTTCTATATATGGACACAGGTACACATAAGTATTTTTTAAATTAAGATTGTAATATCACCAGATCTGCTCTTGGAAATCCAGGGGGACCAAAATATTTTAGCATTCAAAAATATTAATTTTTGTATCATTTCAAGTATATACCAAAACAGTTTCTGATGAACACTGATGCAAATGTTTATTGTAAATATTACATACATTATACATTCACTTAAGTTTTGTGGATTTCATCGAGTTGACATTTCAGTAGCGTTGAAGCCTCAAGTTTGGTTTACGGCCTCGAGACCGGGTGGACGCGGAGGACAAGGAGCGTTGGAAACGGTCTGATGCCCAGAACGTTGGGGGTTGTTTTTTTTTTTGGAAGGCTGGAATTTTTCAGGGACCTTCCAACCTTAAAAGCTGGAATTCTGGGATCTTTCCAAGTGTGACACAGTGTCACCCTCCAGTGGTTCCACCTGTAATCCTAGGAAGGACGCTGTACATAGGGTAGAGACGCTGGGAGTGACTGTAGGGGGGCATGGAGATGGCAGATGAAATAAGAGGCTACTTTATTTTTTTTCAGCAAGGGTTCCGAGTGTGATTGCCATGAAATTCACCTTTTAGTTACTTCCTTGTTTATATTGTGCCATTGAAATGATTGCGAGGTGTTAAGCGTTTTGTGTGGTTTTCCTTTTTTTAAAAAAAAACCTAAAAACAAACAAAAAAAACCTTCACCATATCAGTTGCTTTAAACTCAAATTACCTCTTAAAAGACCAAGGTACATTTACCTCATGTGTATATAGTGTTTAATATTTTTTTCAGAACATTCTCCAAGTTTGCAGTTAACGTCTTTCTAGAAAGATGGGTAATTACTAAATTTACCAACTTGAGCGGTACTAAATGTATTACCTGGTGCCCCAAAACACTTTAATTTTTTCTGTCTTTTATTGTATTAGCAAGTTTGCTGCTTTGTCACTGTAGCACCTGCCCTTACGTAGCTGTGTGGATACTGACTTGTAAATTCTCCTGTTTTTTTCGGATGATTTGAGGATTCTGTACAGATGAGTGTCACTTTTTTAAAAACCTTACGAAATTGTGCATTTCCTTTACATTTCTGAAAAATATGTATTGTATTTGTAGAGTCTACATTTCAATGGATTGTAAATAGGACAGTAGAAGAGTGGATGCTTATGTTAAGTGCTAACACTACAGTAGAGAGATTAAAGCAGTGAAAATAAATAACACTTTTTTTATTATTATTCCAAATGCCTGACTTGTCTTCCAGAAGAAGGAGCTGCAGGTAGGTGTGGGTTTGGGTTATTACCTGGCAAAATGTGGGTTTGTTGGGAATTCTTTTCCTCAGAAGGGATTTTTGATGGTGTAAAAATGCTAAAAGAGTTTGGTGGTGCTGAGGAATCCGTCTCCTGAGCTGTACAGATAAAGTGCCTCATCTTCCTCCTGATGTTTGAGTAGGTGTCTCTTGCTGGTGTCTCTGAGCTCTTGGACAAAAGAACTAATGATAAAGCATTTCTTCTTCCTGTTTATATTTACATAGAAGTAACGGTGCTGCTGACAATTTCTTCTTCCTGTTTATATTTACATAGAAGTAACGCTGCTAGCCGGTGACACCTCTCCTATCCTCACCCCCTCCTGCTCCTTATCCTCCTCAATTGCCAGCATTGAGGCTGCTTAAACATCTGACCTCAGCCCCTCACCCAACAGGAGGGAAAATCATCTGGTGGTGGAGGAGATTGTTTCTGAGCACCTACAAAACCTTGTCACCCCAACGTTTCCTTTCCTAAGAGAGCTTAACAGCAGGTGCATGGTGGCAGATCATCCAGCCGGTGACACCTCTCCTATCCTCACCCCCTCCTGCTCCTTATCCTCCTGAATTCCCGGCGACTATTTGTACGTTGTTCCAATTTTTTCACTTCCCAACGGAAGCTTGCAAAAACAAAGCCCAGGAAGGATGCCTGAGAGGGCGTGTGACAGCAGGAAGGTTGTTTTGGGTCAACCTTGTTCGTATCGGAACGCAGAACAGGATAATTCCTTATAGAGCTATACGTATCCTGGGTTCTGACACCACAACTTCAAGCTTTGTTCTTCTTTTCCATTATATAAACTGAACACCTTTTACAAAGGCTGTGTCTGTATATATTATGTAACTTTAAATGTTACCTGTGTAAGATCATATCTTCTATATATGGACACAGGTACACATAAGTATTTTTTAAATTAAGATTGTAATATCACCAGATCTGCTCTTGGAAATCCAGGGGGACCAAAATATTTTAGCATTCAAAAATATTAATTTTTGTATCATTTCAAGTATATACCAAAACAGTTTCTGATGAACACTGATGCAAATGTTTATTGTAAATATTACATACATTATACATTCACTTAAGTTTTGTGGATTTCATCGAGTTGACATTTCAGTAGCGTTGAAGCCTCAAGTTTGGTTTACGGCCTCGAGACCGGGTGGACGCGGAGGACAAGGAGCGTTGGAAACGGTCTGATGCCCAGAACGTTGGGGGTTGTTTTTTTTTTTGGAAGGCTGGAATTTTTCAGGGACCTTCCAACCTTAAAAGCTGGAATTCTGGGATCTTTCCAAGTGTGACACAGTGTCACCCTCCAGTGGTTCCACCTGTAATCCTAGGAAGGACGCTGTACATAGGGTAGAGACGCTGGGAGTGACTGTAGGGGGGCATGGAGATGGCAGATGAAATAAGAGGCTACTTTATTTTTTTTCAGCAAGGGTTCCGAGTGTGATTGCCATGAAATTCACCTTTTAGTTACTTCCTTGTTTATATTGTGCCATTGAAATGATTGCGAGGTGTTAAGCGTTTTGTGTGGTTTTCCTTTTTTTAAAAAAAAACCTAAAAACAAACAAAAAAAACCTTCACCATATCAGTTGCTTTAAACTCAAATTACCTCTTAAAAGACCAAGGTACATTTACCTCATGTGTATATAGTGTTTAATATTTTTTTCAGAACATTCTCCAAGTTTGCAGTTAACGTCTTTCTAGAAAGATGGGTAATTACTAAATTTACCAACTTGAGCGGTACTAAATGTATTACCTGGTGCCCCAAAACACTTTAATTTTTTCTGTCTTTTATTGTATTAGCAAGTTTGCTGCTTTGTTACTGTAGCACCTGCCCTTACGTAGCTGTGTGGATACTGACTTGTAAATTCTCCTGTTTTTTTCGGATGATTTGAGGATTCTGTACAGATGAGTGTCACTTTTTTAAAAACCTTACGAAATTGTGCATTTCCTTTACATTTCTGAAAAATATGTATTGTATTTGTAGAGTCTACATTTCAATGGATTGTAAATAGGACAGTAGAAGAGTGGATGCTTATGTTAAGTGCTAACACTACAGTAGAGAGATTAAAGCAGTGAAAATAAATAACACTTTTTTTATTATTATTCCAAATGCCTGACTTGTCTTCCAGAAGAAGGAGCTGCAGGTAGGTGTGGGTTTGGGTTATTACCTGGCAAAATGTGGGTTTGTTGGGAATTCTTTTCCTCAGAAGGGATTTTTGATGGTGTAAAAATGCTAAAAGAGTTTGGTGGTGCTGAGGAATCCGTCTCCTGAGCTGTACAGATAAAGTGCCTCATCTTCCTCCTGATGTTTGAGTAGGTGTCTCTTGCTGGTGTCTCTGAGCTCTTGGACAAAAGAACTAATGATAAAGCATTTCTTCTTCCTGTTTATATTTACATAGAAGTAACGCTGCTAAGAACTTGAGGCTGCTTAAACATCTGACCTCAGCCCCTCACCCAACAGGAGGGAAAATCATCTGGTGGTGGAGGAGATTGTTTCAGAGTGGTGTTACATTTGCAAAGGAAGGTGAAGATGTAGATACACACACCAAAAAAATTGATGTCTTGCCCTTGTGTAAGCTGATGTGCATCCGTTCATTTTGACTCAGAAATGACCAGACCAGAAAATTCCCAATTTCTTCAAAATGGGAAGCAACAAGGTGTCCAGAGAAAGTAGAAAGCTATGTCAAAATGTTGTGAAGGAGGGATGATGTGGCTGAGAATGTGCCTCTCTCCCATGAGTGGCTACAGGAAGGCTTCTCCTACCCCTGCAAGGAACCCAAACTCAGTAAAATCCTGAGTATTTCTCATACATCTCCTAGAAGAGGAAATTATGGCCTGAAAATGGTGTAATAATGTTGCTGTCTAACAAGCTTTGTTTTTATTAAATAGTCGTCTGGGTTTCATGCTTGGAAGGATTAAACCCAACAACTGAGAATCCATGAACAGCAAACAACTGCTGTGAGTGTCTTAGCCGTGAGGGTGTTCTAAGGTGGTTTTAGAGATGCTGACCTGGGGTGGTCTGCAGTGCTGGCCTGGGTTACAAGTCAACCTGGAGAGTGGCAGAATTCCAGAGTTCTCACTCAATGCTCTGAGAATTTTGTTTTATGAAGCTGTGATGTTTTAACTGGTGCTGACAGTGGGGAAGTGTGTTTTGGAGGGGTGCGCTGTCATGTTGGAGACATCTGGGTGAGCCCTGGTGGGGTGGGATTCCAAATCACAGAATGTTCTGGGGTTGGAAGGGACCTCTGAGGATCATCTAGTCCAACCCCCTCCCAAAGCAGGTCCACCCAGAGCGGGGGGATGAGGGATGGCCAGGGAGATGTCAGGCTGTTGTCCACCAAAACTTTATTTGGCCACCTACTGGCGGGAGTATGGGCGCTCAGTCTCATGAGGAACATGGTGAAGACACAGCAGAGGACTTTGATCGTGCCTGTCCACATCCAAAAATTTTTGTGGCTGTTGCCAGTTCTCCCACATCTGACAGATCAGAGCGTTGCCACCAGCCTGAGTTCATCCAGCATCCTGAGAGTTTGTGGTAGGCCACAAGGGCAAAGTAGTCACTGTGATGACTAGAAAGTCATGAGACTTGTCTTTCTCAGACAAAAGGAGATGTAGGAGGGTCAGAGTTAGTTCATGTGCTAGTTCTAGGGTGGCTGCTGCAAGTATTGAGCCTGTTGTCCTCTCATCCTCCCCACCTCTTCTATGAGGACACCTCTGGAGGTGTCCAAGGCCAGGGTGATTCTATGTTGCCCTTTGTTAGGTGGTGGCTCTGCTTGGAGTTGATAGATTATTCATAAAGTGATAGAATGGTTGGAGTTGGAAGGGACCTTAAAGATCATCGAGTTCCAACCCCCTGCCCTGGGCAGGGACACCTCCCACCAGACCAGGTTGCTCCAAGCCCCATCCAGCCTGGCCTTGAACCCTCCAACAGAAGCTTCCAGAACTGGAAGTTCTGATTCTTGCCGTGGGTCATCTGCCCACAGGGACTAACATAGTCAGAACATCCAGCCTGGCCTTGAACCCTCCAACAGAAGCTTCCAGAACTGGAAGTTCTGATTCTTGCCGTGGGTCATCTGCCCACAGGGACTAACATAGTCAGAAAACATCTACTTTATCGTGATTTTAAGTTAAATATCTAAAAAACTAAAAGGCAGAGGCAGTAACAGTCTTCAGAAAAAAAAAAGAGGTAAGAATTTACGGGTGGCAAATTCCAAGTTGACTCTGAGTTGTCAGAGCTTTCCTATTGCTCTGGACACCCCCATTTTAAAATCTGCCTTCAGACCTTTTTCCACAAGTCACGTATTCCCATTCCCTTCTACGCTGTGGGCCTGGAAACTCACGAGTATATTCCCAGTGGTCAAATTCTTACCTGGCACAGGAACAGGGTGAGGGATGGCAAGACAAGAAGTCTCCAATCCCACAGTTGCTGTCTAATTCTTACGTGTTCCCAAAGAGTGGAATCAGGCCGTGCTGTCTTCTGTCGATGCCCCACTGTGGAATGGGGTCTCTGACCCACGTCTCCTTCCTTCCTAAAAGGGAAGCTTTTTGAAACTTTATCTTATTTCATGAAGATAGTCTTTCGTGACCCCCAGAAGGGTGAGTGAGACTCAGTTCCTGAACCGTTCTAGACAATTCTTCATGACAGGGAGCTACCTTTTCTTACCTTTTTTTCAGGAAACTGCTTGCTTTGCTTGTTTTGTGAAGACTGTGCCTCCCACGCAAGCTGTTAGAAGGCTTTATGTTTTTGTATTGGCAGACTTCGGCCCTTACAGAGGACCTCATTTCCATCCATCCACAGATTTAGTCACTTCACCACAATAATATCGTTGAACTGCTAATTTCCATTTCCTAGAATGATAGAATTGTCTAGGTTGGAAGGGACCTTTGAGATCATCCAGTCCAACCATCAACCTAACTCTAATAAAAACCCATCACTAAACCATGTCTCTAAGCACTATGGCAACCCGGCTTTTAAATCCCTCCAGGGATGGGGCCTCAACCCCTTCCCTGGGCAGCCCAGTCCAAGGCTTAACAATCCTTTCCATGTAGAAATTTTTCCTGATCTCCAATCTGAACCTCCCCTGGCGCAACTTGAGGCCATTTCCTCTTGTCCCATGGCCTGGGACTTGGGAGAAGAGACCGACCCCCCCCCTGGCTACACCCTCCTTTCAGGGAGTTGGAGAGAGCCAGAAGGTCTCCCCTCAATAGACTTTCTTACCAAGGTTCCTTCTGCTAAGACTCATGTGATCATGGTGGCTCTACAGTCTCCTCAGGGTTGCTGGGCACATTGTTACTGATACAGGTAAGCACCACCCAGTTCTCAAAACACCCAGAATAGTATTGAACTTGAAGAAGAAGGAGGGAATACTGCAAAAAAGAAAGTTTTACAACATTTCATTTTGAACTTCTTCAGGCTGTGTTGGCAGGGTCAACAGTGTGCTCACAGCCCTCCCTTTTAAAAAGTGCAAATCTTTAGGTTCCTCGAAGAGGGTTCTCCAGAAGGGGAGGTGGGTGCTTTGCTCCCATTACTGTTGCAGCAGTTGAATGCAGGGGGCTTGAAGCACAAAACTGAGGAAACTCGTATGGTAAAATGTAGGGGAGTGCTTGCTTACAGGTAACCTCAGCAGGACTGCACAAACAGGTGACACGTTCTGAAGAGAAGTCCCAGGTAAGTAACCTGTCTTGGCTCATTGTTCTGCTAGTTTTTAAGGTTTAACGCAAAATAAAAATGTTTATGACATAGTTTAGGCTCTTAATAATTTCTTCCTTTACAACAATACATTGCTGCAGCCCTTTTTCCAGTTTCCTGTAGTCAGGTGTATGTTTTGTTGTTGCCTTTTCCAAAGGTGTTGCATTCTGAAGCTGAAAATACTTTCAAACTGTTTTAAAAAGAAAGAATTTAAGTGAAAGGCAGTATATTCAATACACTTATTTTAAATTAAAAGCAGGAGGTTTCTTTAGACCATTTGAAACCTGACTCAAGTAAAAGAAAGTTCTTTAATATGCAGTCCAACTGATAAATAATTAAGTACTACTCTTTCATTCTATGACACATTACTCTCATTTTTTAGAAGGTGAATGGCAGCTTGGCTCCTTTTTTCATCTGTTGGATCTTCTCTGCTGGGAATAATTATATTGGTGTTTTTGTGTTGCATTTTGTGTGCATTTAGTGTTGTACTATGGAGAAAGACAATTCCAGCTCTCACCTTTCTGGCTGGCTTGCTTGCTTCCCTCCTCTTTTTTAGCTAATCCAAAATTCTGTTTGCTGACTCAAAGTGTGTGTTTAGTCCCTGGCACTCAGCTCGCTCCCTGTCTCCCTACGGAAGAGACGACACCAGTTGTGTTTCTTGCTCCATGTGAGAGAGACACTTGAAAAGCTTGGGGGGGAGCAGCAGGTTTGTGTTAATTAGTTTGAAAAGGCAACCTTTCTCTGCGACTGTCTTTTCTTCCAGCCTGTTTCTTGGAGGCTTTCTTCAAGAGCAACCATTCATCCTGGTGGTAGGTCTCCCTCTCCCCACGGTCCAACCGTCACTGTTGATTGGTTTCGATTGGCATCGGCAGTTGCATTATAAAAGGATTTTGGCCCCTTGGAATAAAAAACAATTTATTTATTTATTTATTTTAAATAGAATGTAATTTTTAAAAGCAGATTGTCCTAATCCCAGCTATTTTTCTCCAGGCCTTTTCAACCCCAAGAAGACATCAGGCTGCGCTTTCCAGCTGCCAGGAACGTAACTGCTGCTTGTGCTGGTGGATGTTTGGTTGAGAACAGGTAAAGTCACCACTAACTGACAGTGCCCTGAATCCATTTTAGGACTAAATTTGTCTTTGTGCATGAAAGCCCTCTAAAAATATGCTGTACTGCCTCGGTGCTAGTGATAAAGCAACGAAGGAAAGTTGTTTGTCCGCTTGTGAGTGGGAGTGCCTGCCAGGCTGGAGGGCTTTCCAGCTGCTGGGATGTGGGGAGAAGAATTTTCACAGAACATTTGGGCTGTGCACCCTTCACTTCACAGGTGATTGCTTTTCCTTTGGCCCCTTTACTGCTTGAAATTTATGGGATGAAACAACAGTATTGGGTCCTTGCAGTCTGCAGAATGACGTGTCTGTCGGTATGGACTGTGATTCCAGTGTCCTTAATGCTCAAAATCTCTTCTAGGTTTTTATGCATAGAACAGTTCAAAAGTGTACAGTAAAACAGAGCAAACTTGAATGCTTTATTTTTTCAGTATTAATTTTTTCGTTGAAATAGGATTTCAATGAGTGACTTAGAGAAGTCGATGTCTGTAACGCTTTATGATATCATCCTGGGAAGTATCTAAACATGAGCTCGATATAATCTCTTTAATGAAATTGCTTGGGAGAAAAAGGGGGGAGAGTTATGAGACTAGAGATCATTCAGTGTGATCTTGAGTAAAAGGGTTGTTACCATGTCATCCCTATTTTAACTGTAGAAAGACAGACAGCTGTTCCGGTTGGAATTATTAAAATCTGTGCTTTAAAGAATACTTTCTTTGCAAGAGCCCTTAAGAAAAACAAAAATATAGAAAAGGAATAAAATCAAAAGACCAGTGATGGCATTTTGAAGTACTAGCTTGTTAGCTATATCAACATGAGTTTCCTTCAGTGTCCATCTGTTAGACATGATTAAGGTGGCAGCTGTGCCCTGAGGTAAATATAAAACCTATGAGATAGTGTAATCTTTATAGATCTAAACCAGTAAAGTAACTTTATAAATTATTACAGATGTTTCACATATGGGTGCCTGATCAGGTTATGAATTAATGCCTCAAATACAGACTTGTGTGCTTTTCCTGGCTCCTTGGCCAGCCCCTTTCAAACCATCTCCCTAGATGGATCCCGAATTCCACTGGGGAAGTAGGAGATACAAGTCCTAGAGGTGTATGTGATCGTGGGCCTGGAAGAGGAGGCTGGGCTGAAGGGACATCAGCTCATCCAGTTTTCACAAAGGAAATAATTTGAAGAACTGGTGGAAGAAATCAAAGCTGATTCTCAAGCAAAGCTGTTTGTGCCAGGCCCTGCTCAAAGAAATACATTGGAAAATTTCCATAAAAGCAAGGGAAGGGTATTTAAAATCAGAGATGATCATGGAGAAGAAAGGAGGTGAGATAGCTGGCCACCAGCCCAGAAAGCCAACCACATCCTGGGCTGCATCAGAAGAAGCATGTCACCAGATCGCAGGAGGTGATTCTACTCCTCTGCTCTTGTGAGACCCCACCTGGAGCACTGTGTCCAGCTCTGGAGTCCTCAACGTAGAAAGGTCATGGACCTGTTGGAAGAGGTCCAGAGGAGGGCCACGAAAATGATGAGAGGGCTGGAGCACCTCTGCTATGAAGACAGGCTGAGAGAGCTAAGGTTGTTGAGCCTGGAGAAGAGAAGGCTCCAGGGAGACCTTATAATGGCCTTCCAGAATCTGAAGGGGACCTACAAGAGAGATGGAGAGGGACTCTTTATCAGGGAGTGGAGCAATAGGATGAGGGGTAATGGTCTTAAACTGAAAGAGAGGAGATTTAGATTAGATCTCAGGAAGAAATTCTTCCCTGTGAGGGTGGTGAGACACTGGAACAGGTTGCCCAGAGAAGCTGTGGCTGCCCCATCCCTGGAGGGGTTCAAGGCCAGGCTGGATGGGGCTTGGAGCAACCTGGTCTGGTGGGAGGTGTCCCTGCCCAGGGCAGGGGGGTTGGAACTGGATGATCTTTAAGGTCCCTTCCAGCCCCAACCATTCTATGATCACTTGAGGTTGCTCAGGCTCAATTTAGTATGGACTGATGGCTTTTTACCCAGGCAAGTATCTCCAATACCCTACTTGAAAGAGCACTGAGACAGTGACACACACACAGAGACATGAAGTAATTTTCCTTGAGGAAGGCTTGGGAGTCATCTGACAAGCAAAAAAGAATGATAGAAAGAAAAGCATCGCAGCGAGGAACATAACACAGGTATTTGTGTAGCTCTCAAGAAATGGCTGTGCAAGACCACAAACGGGATCTTATGCAATAAAAATTCAAAAGATGTGAAGTGATAAACTAAATCAAGGATGAAAAATCAAGGCTAAGAAAGTGAGAAAGAAAGAAACCAAGCTGTACCACTCGCAGTTCTCATGCCATCTGTGCATGTGAGGAGGTGCCAGACATAATTTTGCTGATGGATCCTATTTTGAAGGCGCTGTTGAAGATAACACAACTATTGCATTGTCTGTACTGTTATTTTTGTTCTTTCGTACAGAAAATCATCCCAGAATCAGTTTGTTTTCATACTGACTTTGAATAACAACAACAAAAAGACCCCAAAACATGGACTGTTGTAATCTAGGTAGCAAGAACACCAGGATACAGAGAAAGCACAGCACAAACAATAACCACTGAAGGAAAACATGTTCCTTATGTAGGAGGAAAACCATGATTCTTTTTATGTATCAGTCATCTCTAGTATATTGAAGGGACATAAAGCAAGCTGGAAAATACTGATGTAGTAGAGAGAGCTGGGGTTGTTCAGTCTGGAGAAGAGAAGGATCCAGGGAGACCTTATAACAGCCTTTCAGTATCTGAAGGGGACCTACAGGAGAGCTGGGGAGGGACTCTTTATCAGGACGTGTAGTGACAGGACAAGGGGTAACGGTTTTAAATTGGAAGAGGGGAGATTTGGATTAGATATCAGGAAGAAATTCTTCCCTGTGAGGGTGGTGAGGCACTGAGGTTGCC